GTACTACCGGTTTTCTTAGCTTTAGTTTTCATGAAAGAACAGTGCATTATTTTTCACTGTTAGTCTTTGGGTCATGTTATTTAGGTTCAGGAAAGGCTGTTTATTATCCTTGGCTGGAGCACAACAGATATCTGAAATGATAGCTCGGTCTCAGTATAGCCACAAACTCCACACTCTGAGCTCTGAATAGGAAACTGGAATATATTTTCTCAGAGAAATATTGGGTTTAGGTTCTTTAAAGTTATACTATAATAGATGATGGAGGGTATGAGTTAATTGACCACCAGCAGACCCTTAGTGACTGCATGAACCCTCTATAGCAACTTAGTGTCAGAAGTGCTAATTCTTGCTCTGCATAATTTAACCAGACATCAAGCCTCTAATTGAGTGAGGGAGAATGAATGTGCTTGTGTAAGTACACTGCAGAAATATGATCGCTCATCGTCATCTTGGCTCTGACATCTCAGGGATCTATGAGAGGCTCAGTTACTAACCAGTTGCTCCCCTCTTTACGCTTTATGTAACTAAAGTCCATGTCTACAGTGTAGATAGAAAATGGACTTGTGTGAACAAAGTTCAGATGTTTACCTTCCATGGACACAGACAGCACCACCATATCTTTTAACATAAGTTCTTGACTACAACTACTTTATCATTTAAAACTGGCATATAATCACTTGATAAATATTTATTGAATGAAAATTTGTCACTGAGTTTTATGGTACCTTAGAGTATGAATAATTTAAGTGATATTTACTTTGCTTGGAGATATCCTCTGAACCTCTCAGATGCCAAGGATTAAAAGTGCAGCATCTCAAAACATAATAAAAATTATATGTGGAAATACAGCCTCAGGATTGTGATGAGAATAAATTAGACAAGTCTACAGTCTACTTTGAGCTCTTTGAAGTTCTAATATAAAGATTCATTGGTAGTGATTAAGTTTGATTGCCATGCTCCAAGGATAAAGCTACTTCTTTGTAGAGGATGCTGTTGAGAGCTGAACTGGAGCATTAATTTCATTTTTATGATGTTGAAAAATTGATCCAAATACAAAATTAATGTTTATTTATTAGTGTTATCTTTTCAGGAGAATGAAAAAATCTAAATTATGTAATAATAACATATTGTTGATATTATAACTGAAGAACAAAATGATAAATTACTCAGTGTGTCAAATCTCATGTAAATTTTTTCAATTACACATCAAGGTATAGAAGATTTTTAGCACACAACATCCAGGTATAGAAGATTTTTAGCACACACACACATATATTTCACTAAAATATGATTCAATGATTAGAAGCCCCGGGAAAATATAACCACAAAGACTAAGCTATAATTTCAATGATTAATGTTTCTGGGGATAAATATCCAGTGAGTGACTTCTGTTGGTTTTCAAAAATGTCCTGTCACTGTTATCTTTGGAATTAGACGGGTTTGATTACTCAAGCATACATCTTTAGCTTTAGCCCTGTCAATAACAAGTTTCTTGGAATCAAAGAAGACACTACAAATGTAAATCCCTTGGGTCAATATATGTCAAATAATCTACTATGATTACAGAATGAAAATAAAAAGAATAAAAGTGAAACGTACATAAAATGTATAATGGCTGGGGATAAATGGCATTGCTAGAGTATCTTTCCAGCACACACGAGTTCTTTCAACATCACAGTATATAAATAAATAGACATTCTAGAACCTCAAAAATTAAGCCCAATTAAAAGGTTTTAAAAATGCCAAGGCATGAAAAAATAAATTCTTCTTACTATATGCAAAGAATGATTAACATTAAATATGACTAGAGGAAAAGCACTTAGTTAAAAATATTGAAGGGAATATTTTAAAGCAGTAATTCTGAAGCTTTGGCAATTAATAGTTTTTAAGTTTAAAGTATATTTTTGTATCTGAAATACCTCAGGGAATTAGGTACCTTACTATCACATTTCTAAGGATGGACAGATAAAAAACTAATAATTAAATATTCCGAGAGAATATAGAGAATATAAAAATAGTATAAATAAAATTAACACTGTTTCTTTAAAATAATTTTGCAGGCAACAATGCTAATAACACATTTTCATTTGTCAGTATTTTTTTGTTTAGTATATCATATTATCATATGATAAAATTGTAAACTTCACCATTATGGCATAGGGCTTATACCCGAGACTTTAGAAGACTGTGCCTCACAGGCCTTTACTTGGCCTGTCAGACATGGGTTGACATCTGATCTCAGTTTTTCTGAATGTTCTGCTTATTGTCAGACAGATTTTGAAAGTAGCCAAGGATGATAGTTTTTATCCATTGCACCCGGGATAATTAAACTTAAAAGTCAACTTGATGGAACCTAGAACCACCTTGAAAACAAACCTCTGTTTGTGTATTGGAGAGATTTTTCTAGAGTATGTTCATTGGAGCAGGGAGACAAACCCTACATGTGGGTGATGCTTTTCCAAGGGCTGACTTCCTCTTGTGAATAAAAAGAAGAAAATAAGTTGAGCATCAGTATTTCTACTTCCTAACTGTAAACATGATGGAGCCAGATTCCTCCTGCTCCTCCCAAAACATATTCTCTACTGTTAAAGACTATATCCCTGAAAACTATGAACCAAAAGAAGGCCTGGGCAGTCTAAGGGACCTCAGACAGAGGAAGTAGGATGTATTCCTGGTGCACGAAAGTACTTTGGGAGCACATTCCCCATGGAGGGATACTCCCTTAGCCTAGAGGCAGGAGGGAGGGCCTAGGCCCTACTCCAAATGACTTGACAGATGTTCATGATGCCTTCTGGAAGGCATCACCCTCCCTATGGAGTGGGGCGGGAATGGGATGGCGGGGGTGGTGGTGGGGGGGGCTATGGGAGGGAGGGAAGAATGAAGGAAGGGAGAGAGGGAGAGGGAACTGGGACTGATAGGTAAAATAAGAAAAAATAATAAATGTATATATAAAATTTTTTAAAAAAAGAATTTTTCCTTTCTTAAAAGACGAATGTTGGGTATTTTGTTATAGCAATGAGAAAAACAACTATGACAGGACCCTATACCACCAAAATCTAGACTTTTCTAAAATTTGGATGAATTGAAACTTATTTAGAAATTGAGTTGTTTTTCTGTTTTTGTTTTGTTTTTGTCTAACCTAGCGAGAATATGGCTGATCCATATTATTCTATCCTGCTGTGTTTGATATCTGTGTGCTTATCATTACCTTTTGAACTCTCCTAAGTAAATAGCTTAAGGTCTTAAGTAAATGGCTGGATGGCTGAGGAAAAAAAAAAAAAAAAAAAAGACAATGAGTGCTTAATAGTCAGGATGACAGACACAAGATGAAGGAGTAAAATTCTTATTTCTATCTGCTCTCAATGTCAGTTTTTGAAGAGATCTGCATTTCAGGAAAATGTACCTATAATCCAGTGAAACAAGACAGAAGATGAGGGGTAAGATCTAAGCATCAAGACAAATGCAAAGTGGGTTCACATGACAAACATCACACCATTACATGAAGACTAAATTCTGAGCATAAGTAGCTCAACCCTAAAAGACTAGGAGAATGAAGGCAGGAAGCTAATGAGAAACCTCAATTTTAATGAAGGATTGCCAAAACTATAAATGTAAAGATATATGAATAATTGAGTTTCCGCTTGAGAACACGCCAATAATATGTAATGAGAATAGATAATGGCAAGGTAATTGATACACAATGAAACATTCTTTATGTTGATGCTACAACACAAAAATAACTGTTTCAAGCAAGTAAATGTCAGCACTTGGTCATATCAAATATCACTGCACTGGCTACATATAATGCTACTGGAAGGCTTATTTTAAAATTTCATCTCCTTTTTCAATTTGTGGTTAACTAACCAGAATACAAAGCAAAGAATCATACTTCATAGAAGAATGTTCACCACAGATAGCCATACAATTTAAGATTGGATTTAAGGGTATTATATGCAAATGAAGATATTGAAAGCAGTTTGTGGCAAATACTAATATTTTTAAGTTATCAGTAACTAAATAAAAAACATTTCAAGACACAGTAGTCTGAAAAATTTCTTTCTAGATTGAGTTTCTATGGGATCTGGATAGATTCAGCAAATTGCTGACTAATAAATTATTATGCTAATGAGTTCTTCTGCAATGTATATGTTCACATTTCCTGTTATTGGTAAATGCCTGAAATGCAAGAGGAAAGACAAAATGTGAAGTACCTTGACAAGCCTGTGTTTTCTAATAATAAAAATAAATGGATCACAAATTGATAGCTAGAAAAAAAAAAAGACTATTCTTTAGTAGGAGAAAGCACAAATATAAAAACCATTAAAATGGCATAATCATTTAAAGAGCAGAGATGAAACAACTCAAAGGAGACTTGGTAATAAAGTGAAATTATTATGCTTTTAAAGAATGTGCTTTCAGGATGGTGACTTCTTGTCACTGAAATGTTACTACACTGCTAAAAATACGTTATTCATGGAATCCCTTTCTCACAGCTGTTGAAACTCAAACCTTTCCAATTTTACAAGTCATTTCAATGTTCCATATCACATATGAATGGAAAGATACACTATCAGTTTCCTGGCAGATGCAGAACAATCTGTTCCTGCCTATATTAAGCTTATATTCAGAGGAATATTTTTTTCTTCATAAGTCCTCCTTTATGAAGACTAGACACATAATTGTCATGAGAGTACACAAAATTTCACTCTGGTTTTGTAATGCCAATCAGACCTTCCCTTAACTTCAGTAGTATACTGGGTGGCTGTCAGGACCACATACAAGTATGTTATATGTAACTCAGTTTTTAAATTAGTGCTTTGGTCATTAGTTTAAAGTATGCAGTTTGTTGTGAGCATTCATTTGCTTGAGATAATACCAGGTAAGCTGTTAAGTGGGTTTACTTCCCATTCCTTTCTTCTTAAATTGCTCAAAAAAGAAAAAAAAAAGATAAGATGTAATGAAGCGTTAGAAAAACAAGTAAAAACAACCCCCAAACCTACTTTTTCTTCAGTCTTCTGTCCTTCTCAGCTTGAGTTCCGAGTTTGCCCAAGCCCAGGGATTCCTGTGCTGCAGCCTCGGTCTCCATGAAGCCTCCTGAGAAGAAGCAATTGGAGATCAAGATATAGGACAAGTATTTGTCCACCCTGAAGTTAAAGTCTCAAAGGCATATTGGGGAAACTACTCAGAAACACTTTTTCTTATAGGGTTTCCCTTATATTATTGTTCAACATACCATACACCAATGGCTGTCACACATACAAATGCTCTGAAAAAATCAGCACAAAAGGAAGTGTCTACTGGTGTTCATTTTCACAAACATAATTGTGGAAGATATATGTATGCATGTATGTATGTATGTGTACTAATAGACAGTTGTACAGCACTCAATGGTCAAGGCCATTCTGTGACACTGTAGTGAAAAGTAAGAGTGAATACATGAATAGCATGTGTGTCATATCTAATTTACATTGAGAAAGTCTGGAGAACAGAAAGCTAGATGTATTCTTTCAGCCCCAAGTTTAAAGAATGCAGAGGCTCTTGTTGGCTTATCAAAATTGTGTATGTGAAGTTCCTGGAATACCTTGTGTTCAGCCTGCTTAGTCTTACATCCTTAAGCAGATGTCGTCTGTGTTCTGGGATAGCTTTTCCTTTCATATTTTTTTATGAACTGGAAAAAAATAGATCTTTCTAAAAACCTCAATAAGATTGTTTTCACCTAATATACCAATTATTATTTGAATTAGCAGAATCAGAAATTAGAGCATGTATACTTACTCTTGGTGTGAACAAGAGAAATTTCATGTGTGCCAGTTATATTAAAGTTTAGACACATTACAAAACAATTATTTCACTTCAATACCCTATTGATTCAAAAATTGTTAAGTATACTGAAAACGTACGACTTAATACTGACCCTTCCTTCTCTTTAATATTTATCATATATATATATATATCATAAAATCACATTCATTGAAAATTATTCACAAATTTCATGTAAGGAATAGGAACATACACACACGTATATATACTTTACTTTTAAATAGAATGGATTTAAGTCATATTTAAGCATAAGACTAGAAATATTCAAATGATACTAATCTAATACTAACCATAACTTCATTGTTAACAAATGTCATCCTCCAAATTTAGCCAATATATCATAAAACCACCTTTGAAGATAATCGTCACAGATTTCTTTTGCATAGCTTCTTTCTTACAGTTTGAGAACTTGACTGTGATATGGTTTCTTTCATTCATGGAATGAACTAGTAAATTAGTACTGCTTCTTGTAATTTATTTTAGCAAATAATTTGTAAAGCTGGAGATTATTAATATATAATCTTGACATTAATTAACTTAACTCAGCCTGATTATCTTACTACTGGACTGGATAATTGTAAGAAAGTCCCCTTTAATCAAAGCACATCAGTGACTGTCCATATTCAATTCTGTGTTATGGAGATACAAGGCCAAATTTATTTTATTCATTATATCCATGTGCAATTAATGCAGTGGAAAGAGTTTGATGAAGGAAGTCGCTGTGGCTTTTATTTGGAAAGCCATCCAGTGGCTACCTGAAATTCTCCTAGGGAACATTTTCAAATCTCAACTTTTCCATCATTCATAGTGACAGAATATTTTGACTTTGCTTCCTATGAATCATCCATAAATTATCATTTATAATCAGAGAGTAACAATAAAAATGTTCTCTTAAAATGAAAATGAAGTGAATGATTGATTTAAAACTCATAAAATTCTTCATTGGTCCATATGGTTTCACTACAGATCGATGCAACAAATCTATTCAATAAATAATGGAAATACATTCAATTTCCAAGTTGTTGGATGAATCAGACTTTTTTTCAGAGTCATAAAAGGACAATTGTTACTTAAACTTTTCATGAACTCAACTTTTTAGATAAAACATGGTGATTTGTTAAGCAACAGAAGTTTTGAAAGAAAAAATTCTATAATGAGACAGCACAAATAGGTTTTGCTACTTTGTGACTTTGGAGGAGTTGATTTAACTGTAACTATAATTAAGCATAGTTTCTCATATTCTAATGTAAAAATTTATAGCCTCTGAAAGTATAAAATAAAGCTTAGGTGTTTAGAAGACTATTTTCTAGGTTTTAAATTATACCTTAGTTATCCTGATAAAAACAATTTTGCTGGAAAAAATCCCTAATGGTTTAGTATTTTCTCATCAAACTCAACTGAAAATAAGCATAAAATACTTATCTACAAAGGACAATCAAAAATATTTTAAATGAAAAAAGCAAATTATAAGAGCTAACATATGCTAATATGTTAATAAATAAGCAATCCCTATATTAGCAAACATTTCAATGATAACGATTGTGAGTTATATTATTGCAAATTACAAATAATTTGGTAAGGGCTATGAAAAATCATCAAATTAAATAAAACAAACATTGTTGATGGGTATGTTGATTTATGTTTAAATACAGCTTTCATTTCCTATGTTATATTTCTTATTGCCTAAGGAGTCCTTCTCCTGGGAAATAGACATCCAAGGATTCTATTTAAACTGTCCCATTCAATTACACTGGACACATGGTCATATGCAGATCAGCCTTCCCTAGCTTCTTCTGCTTTGTGTGGTTGCATACCCTGGATTCCAGGGAAGGGATTTTGAAGAACTTTACTGCCACAAACCTGCAAACATGAGCATCAGAACAGAAATTCTTTGTGCTACAGTGGGAATAAACCTAGGTGATGGTTGCTACCTGTAAATATTGATTTCTCTAATTAACCCCAGAACATATTTGGAAATCTGTATAACTCCAGGTAACATTTACCCTTAGAAGCAGTTTAATCATTTCTTAACAATTTAACTATAAAGAGGAATATACAGGAAGATTATCGGTCTGTCCATTAGTCGGTCTGTCTGCCTGTTTGTCCATCTGTCTGTCCATCCAACCATCCATCCATCCATCTATACATACACCCACCCATCCCTGCCTACTGGTCAGGATGTAGGATGTAAATCTCTCTACCACTGTTCCCATGTCATGTGTGTCTGCCTCCCACCATGACATTTATAGTCTCACCTTTTAAAAATGTAAAGAAGTCCCCAATAAAGTAAATACTCCTTTCAATAAGAGTCTTGGCCATGATGTTTTTCACCCCAATAGAACAGTGACTAAGACAATATTCTCACCACTGTGCCAGTGGTGTACATTTTATTTCAGAAATTTCAATTGGTAAATCTTGGCTAATTCCATGTGTATGAATGTATGAGTGTGCATATGTATCTTTTTCATAACTATATCCTTACCTAGGGTCATTTCATTCATATTTTCATATTATCCGTCACTGGTAATAACTTATCCTAGCCAAACTTCTAATGCTTTATTTCTTCATCCTAATCTCATCTCTATTGCTCAGAGTTAGTAGCAAGAAACTGTGATAGATTGTAGGTATCCTTCATATTTTATCCCCTTGTTATTTGGTTTAACATTTCAATTCCTTTTGGTGTATGCAGGTTTCATCTCTTTTCTACAGAACATGTTATGAGTTCACAAAATTAAGATTTTTATATTTATAGATGCTCTAAGTGATAGCATACTTTTCTATTTCTTTTTGCCTGGTACATTTGTAAATGTGTGTATACATGCTCTTGTAGGTGAATGCACATGAGTATATAGGTGTGCATGCATGTGTGTGTGTGTGTGTGTGTGTGTGTGTGTGTATGTGTGTATACATGTTATGCTTGTGGTTGTTCATAATCATTCTCCACCTTATCTTTTACTGGGTGTGTCTCAATAAAGTTCACTGATTTAGTTAGGATGGCCCTACATTGAGATCCAAGGAGCCACTTATCTCTGACTGTACCAGCACTGGAATTACAAATATTTACCCATGCTAGCTTTTACATGTGCTCTGAGGATCTGAGTTCAGGTCCTCATGATTACATGTTTGGCATTTTATCAACTGAGCCATCTCTCAAACTACTTTTGTGGTGGTCTCTGTTCAGAAAATTTCTCAGACTTTGTTTACACATCAATAAAATATGGGTGTCAATAATAATGCTTGATTCACAGTATTAATGCAACTTCATAAAACTAGCATTTCAGTAGCTCAGCTATTGCTATTAACAAAGAGACAAAAGACTTGAGTGTCTTCCAATATTGTTTTGCTGCAACTTGTATTTAGCATTAGTCAGCTACACTGGCTTCATGAAGCTGAGTAAATGGCAAGCAACTCACTAGGTGTGGAAAAGAACTTACAGATGAGAAAACAATCACCAGGACACTCAGAAGTGACAAATCCAGTGGGAGTACTAAGTGGAAAAGCCCCATACTCACGAAGTTGCCCAAGTCGAGCCTTTTCTTTTTTACCAAACAAGCGCCCTATTGAAGACTTGATTCCTTTCTTTTTGGGGGCTTTGTGAAGAGAGTCTTGGCTGCTATTGGCACTGCCAAGCCCAAGGCTTTCTGGCTCAAGAGAGGCAGACAAACTGCTGCAGAACACAAAAGATGAAAAACTGTTCATTTTGATGCACTGTCCACAAAGTGCACAAGGCTTCTTTCCTTTATAAGTGACAAAAAGAAGAATAAGTAGATTTTAAATGTGATTTTTACCCCTGTCCCCCTCATCTCTCTCTAAGTTATTGAAATATTTCTTTCTTGGTTTCGTGGGTCTACAAATTTTCAGCACAAAAAAATCCATCATTTTATTCCAAACAATTTTTTTTCTCTTACTCCTGTGTACCGTCAAATTAATCATCCTCCTTAGCCTAGTTTAATAACTGTATGTTATCTTTTATTGAGCATTTGGCCCATTATTTTTTCTCCAGAGTCTTCTTTTTTTTCTAATTTAAAGAGAATGACCCATGGCAATCTGTTGATTGTGAAACTGAAGCTGCCAACTTAGTCTTTGTCTTCATAGGAGTCCGTTTATCTTTCTTTCTCTGTCACAGGATTGAGACAAACTCATTTATTACAATGCCATCTTACTGAGTCCAGCAGCAACTTATTTAAATGCATATTGCTGTCTTTCTGCTCGATGGCTATCGATAAAGTACTATTTTAAATGTACAAAAAAACTAAATGACTTCCAAATGGTTGATCAATTCTTAACTCTGATCAATATGTCTTACACGGTCTTAAAAAGAAGAGTTCACCAGATGTTGCTATAATAGTGAATAGTTTGCTGCTCTATATAGCTTTTAATCTTTACTTACACATCCAATGTAACCTGAGTTACTTTAACCTCCATTAACAAAGAGCTTTGCTATTCTAAAATATAATCCTCTGCTCTTAAGGAGTAAAGATGCACAAATTTTGAAAGTAGTAACTGAAACCAATGAAATACATAGATAACACCTGTCTGCACAGAAATACCACCTTTCAAAACCATATGTCATGCAGCTACTCACTAGAAGATGTGCTGATCTTTAACTCATGCTACTTGGTTCAGAAATGCTGCTGCTGCTACTGATAACCAGTGAGGATTCTGGCATGTAAGATGAAAACTTAATGGTGAGATATATTCATGCTGTCGATTACAGAGACCAACATGAAAGTTTTAGCCATTTGGATAAGACATTATGAAGAATCTTATGGCATATGAAATGCTTCATCACCTTTAAAAAATATTTTGGTCAGTGTTCATTTCAATGCTAAGGCCTTACATCTCAGGACTCAGAATGTGCACAGTAGCACAGAAATACAACAGAAGTAGTCCAGGAATATATTTTTCAGACCTTCATTTCTCTTACAATACACATTTTTAGTCTTGCCTGAGAAATCCTAGAGTTATCTATCACTAGTCATAACTTTAATAGGAAATGTCTTCTAAATATAGAAGAGCAATTTGCATATTTACTGGTCACAAAACAAAGGCATAAATGTGTCTGTCATCTTTTTAGTTTTAAAAGTAGAAGTTTGATATACAATTGGAAATTTTCATGTGTCATGGGAGAAATGGAAAAAGGGAAATCAGGAAAAGAGCATGATTAAGAACTGTTTCAAATCAAATTACATACATACCAATTTTATTTTTAATTATATATGAATATGTATGTATGTGTGTATGACTCATTTGCATGAGTGCAGGTGCATGCAGAAGCCACTAGAGAGTGTTGGATCCCTTGGAGTTGGAGTTATAGTCATTGAGAAGCTGCCTGAAGTGGATGATGGGAAGCAGTTTCTGGCCTTCTGCAAAAGCAGTCAGCACTCTTAACAATTGAGACATCTCTTGAGTCTGTTCTTTCTATAAATAGTAGAACAGTTTATTTGACAACAGTGACAGAAGAGGAAGAATTTGGAGAAGAAAATATTTAATGTGCACCCTGCTCGAGTCTTACCTCCGGGCATCATTGTGGTAGGAAGAAGGGAGCGTGTGTGTCATTCTGACGGCTCTGGGTGTTGGAGGAGGAGATGTTTCACATTTAATTGTTGCTTTATCTTCCCGTCCATCTTCTTCCACCACTGCAATCTAGAAACGGGAGCAGTTCATCAAACGAGAGAACTATAATTGCAATTGAAATTGCCTCAAAAGGAGAATCATAAAGGGAAGGGGACTTGAGTCCCCATAAGCATGTATGTCTTATACATGCAAGTTGTTATTGTAAGCATGCGTTTTTCATATCTACTTAAAAGTAAAAATAATACATCTTTAAACTAATGAGCTAATTACAGAAATACAGCTTCAATGAAAAGATATTCTCTCTGTAAATGGATTCACATTTTTATCATTGAATGATCAAAACATGTTAGGGGAATCAAAGTTATTGAAATACTGCTACTAATACGTGATTGTGGAAATGCACAGGAGAGGTCCTGATTAGGCCACAGCATACTTAAAGCTCTATTCTGCAAAAACACCCTATGTGTTTTTGCACTGAGTATACTGTGCACAGAAGTTTTCATATACAATCAAGACCTCATGCATACCCAAAACTTAATGATATTTTCTTCCCAGTTTTTTTTCCTTCTTTGGTTATAATTCTATTACAGTTCAGGGAGAGCTCTGACAATTCAACTGCATGGCCCCATCTGAACAGTGTTCTCAGGAATTGTTTTTAGCACGGCTCCAGGGTGATGAGGAAAAAAAAAATCAAAGATTGCTAACCTGCATTTATTCTGAACTCTTTAAGCATAGTTCAGATTCCATACAGACTAATTAGCATTTTCACAGTTTCATGAGATAGCCATAATGCTTTTCTACGATTGTTCTTGGTGAGAGGATTCATTTCTGCCTCACAGTTCTCTTCCTGAAACATCTTCATAGGACATACACCACCATGCACCATCAAACTACACCCCTCCAGTTTTCCTCCTCTAAAACACCAGATGCAAATGCATCCTAGGCCTTGGGGTAGAAAGGCTTTGCAGTCAGTTAACAAGGTAAATATAATAATGATTATCTTAACTGTTCTAGTATGTAAACGAAACCAACCATATAGTTATTTACCCTGCTACCCAGCAGTTCTTGGTGAGGAGTCCTCTTTCCATGATTTCTGTTACACAAATCACTTTTCTATGCAAAACTTTTCATCCTACCTTCTTTCCCTTATAAGACCAAATTACTAACACTATTTACTGGGATCTCTTTCTAAATTTATGGATGTCTTAGACTCTTTACAGCAGGTTGAGAAAGTCAAAAGCTGAGGACCTACATAAGGTCAATTTCATCACCTAGAGCCAACTGTGAGTGCTAAGCTGATATTATAGTCATTGAGAGTTCTATATCTATATATCTATATACATAGATGGCTATATGTACTATGTAATTATATTTCTATTTATTCCTTTATTCTTATAGATGGGTCATAACTAAACAAAAATAAATTTCTATCAATTTAATTTGTGTAAACACAGTTTTCTTTAAGGAAATGATTAATGGTATTTTCTGGATTTAGATATGTTTTAGCATGTATTTACTACCAAAGATCTCCTTTTAAAATTAAGGTTTTATTTATTTTTATTTTATGTGTATGAGCACTCTCTCTGTGCAGAAACCAGAAGAAGATATTGGATTCTATAACCATGGAGTTATGGATATTTGTGAGCCACCATGTAAGTGAGGGAAACCACCTGGAGTTGTCTCTGAGCAGGTGTTCTCGATGGCTGAGCTGTCTCCATAGCCCCTGACCTCCTCATCTGTAAGAGGCTGCAAGTCACAGGGCCTGCCATAACTCTGAAATGTTTCCCATCCACTAACGAGGGACTAAAAGCTTTGCTTTTCACACTTGTCAAATGAAATTGAACTTGGTGAATCCAAATCAAGTCCACTGCCCCTCACATTGCTTTCATGTCATATTAAGTGTCTTGATTTGCCCCAGAATCAGGAAAATGGTCAATGATTTCAGTCAACTTGTTTTCTCTATGTGTGTGTGCACGCATGTGTGTGGTTTTGGTCTTGGGTATGCCACACTGTGCTTTTTGGGGTCAGAGGACAACTTGCATGAATTCGCTTTGTGTGCTTTCCTTCCTCCATGCTGGCTCTGGTGTCTTCAGATTTAAATTTTTTTTTTAATACCTCTTCTGGCTGAGCCCCCTGACATCTGGAGATTTTTTTCTTTCAAGGCTCACTAATATGTAGAGATAGTAATAGTGCTGGAAATCATCCTCCTTAGCTGATGCCTATACTACTGTTGTAATGGTACCCTGAACAAAGTTACCCAGGACTTTAGACACCAAAGCTATCTGTAATCATCTTATCAATCCTAAACTTGCTTAACCTTCCTTTTCTTCATTTTCTGCAAGAGACCTCAAAATGAGTCCTGGAAGCCAGGTTTTTAATCTCACTCATGCCCCAGGCTACCCTCTGGGCTCTCTCAAGGCATGTCCTTTGTTCTTTTGAAACTGGTAAATAACTGTTATATTTTCTTTGATAGGTGAACGAGATCTGCTGGCTCATCATCACTCAATAATAATAAATCTAACATTAAAAGCAATCCATACTGAAAATATTGAAAACAACCAATGCTGTTATAACATTGATCTTATCTCACTCATGAGTGTATTTTTGAGTTAATTCTCTTAAGTGAGTATTTGCCTAGATAACAATATAATTGGTATCTAGATACAATGTAATATTAAAATATTTGCTCTTGAGATCATATTTTAAAGTGCAATAACATATAAATACATTAATGTTTATCCTATGCTAACAAAATAATTTGAACAATAGTATTTTAAATGGTAATAATAACATGTGGAAATTATCTACAATACCTTTCTCCGATGTTTCCTTAGATCACTTGGCTGCAACAGGCAGTAATAAGAGAAACATAAAAAGGACTAATTAATAATTACCATCTGATGATATACCAGTTTGGTTAGTATCTATAACTTGAATCTCGTTTTTCTTCATTCCATTATTTCCTGAATGTAGTAATGTAGTGAGATATTCATCCCAACCGCATTTAATGCATGCCCATTGGGCATGGTCAGTGCAACAGGTGCGGGTGGAGTAGATATCTCACTATACCTGAATATACACCTTTTATCATCATATCATTGAATATATAATATTCAAACACAAACTTTCCCCCCAAAATTATTTTTTCTCCATCATTTTATGTAGGTTATAGAACATCTTTATAAAACAGTGAGGTCAAGAACAGAATTTTGTTGGATGGCAAAGACTCCCTGGATATCATATATTGCTTTTCTGGCATAGTCTTAACCATTTGTGAACCCTATGGGATACAAATAATGATGGGATGTTATGGTTTGCCTTACAACTTTTGTGATACAAAAGTTATGGAGGTAACCAACTACTTGTAGATTGTGTTCAAGCCTACTGAATAGGAGGAAATGCATACCAAGAACTGTAAGACTGGCCAAGAAGATGAGGTTGGTCATTGGGGGTAAAACCACTACTATTATTCTGATAGGTAAACATAGTAGTTATTATACTTCCTTCCAGTCCTGTATCTCTGTATCCATATTTTGGTGCAACTCACAGACATAATAGAGATCTTTCCTTTGTTCACCAGCTGTGTGTTAATGCAGAAACTCATAACTGGTCAATAAACAGAGAGCTAGTGTCCCTTAAGTGCTCAGCCACAAAAGGCACAGCTATATCACCTCTCCCATAAGACTCGGGGACTATTGAGGAAGAGGTAGGTCAAAGATTAAAAGAGCTGGGAGTTGGAGAGAGCTGGAGCAAAACTGTCTTCTGCATATGCTAAGATGCTGTAGTCATGAGCTCGGTTGCCTGCAAAAGACTTGCACTAAATCTAGCCAATCAACCTTCTAGTGTGGGAGGACTGGATCAGTAGGATCAATGGACAGTTGATGCCTTTGGGGAAGTGAAAACCAGTTTTTTTTGGGAGTGTTCACTGCCCTTATATGTCAAACACAATCCATTCTTGTGACTCTATGGGCCTCACAAATAAAACTTGACAAGTTGTTTTTTTAAAAAAAGATAAAAGTTGTCAGGAGGTTTTGGAAGTGGTGTGTGGATATGGGAGTGGGTAGGAAAGAAATGAGGAATCAAAATATATTTGGGGGGGCAGTGAGTGGAGAGGGAACTGGGAGAAAGAGAAGGGGAGGAGAGGAAAGCACGTGGGACTAGGAAGATTGAGTCAGAGAAGGAACAGATGAGAGAAGAGAAGGAGAGAGAGAGAGAGAGAGAGAGAGAGAGAGAGAGAGAGAGAGAGAGAGAGAGAGAGAGAGAAAGACCTACCATAAAAGAGGGAGCCATTTTAGGTTTGAAGAGAAAACTGAATCCAGAGAAATGCCCACTATCATAGAGCCCTCATATAGTAGCTGATGGAAACAGAAGCAGACACCCACAGCTAAACACTGAGCCAAACTGGAATCCAGATGCAGAGGGAGAGGACAAGACCAGGCTACAGAACCACATAGAGACAGCAGACCTGGACAAGGAGAAGCTAAGGAGCCCCCAGACTGATAGCTGGGAATCCAGCACGGGACTGACTCAGACCCCTTGAACATGGGTCTCAATTAGAAGGACTGAGCAGTCTAAGGGACTTCTGACGTGGAACCAAGATGTATCCCTGGTGCACAAAAGGACTTTGGGGGCACATTCCCCATGGAGGAATACTCCCTTAACCTAGAGGCAGGAGAGAGGGCCTAGGCCCTACTCCAAATGACTTGACAGATTTAGATGACCCTTCCTGGAGGGGATCATCCTACATGTGGAGTGGGGGAGTTGGAGGGGAGGGTGGTCGGGGGCATGAGAGGGTGGAAGAGAGGGAAAGAGGGAGGGAGAGGGAATTGGGATTGATATGTAAAATATTCTGACAAATTTGAATAGGAGCAATGTTCCAAATCCATGTCAATGGTTTTGTTTCAGATCCCAGTTTCATAATAAAAGAAAATAATATCTAAACTCTCTATATGAAAATATTTTCATGATGGTGAACTTAAAACCTTTGAGCATAAGATAAAATACTTACTTATATGACTGTTTTTTCTATGGTGAGGAATATGTATATATTTCTATTCATATGAAAGCCTTATAAGTTCATAACATGTTTGTATAAATTAACTGTAAAATGAATTATTTTTAAATCATTAGCTATATTACACATTCTTTAAGAACAGGGTTTGTTCAATTTAGACATGGAATTGAACTTCACTATTCATATTAGGGGATCATACACACAGACAGGTAAGGGCAGTATTTTTTCATAGTCAATTCAAGGTCTTCTGGCAATAAATGATACATATAATCCTGATTCTTCTATGGTATCATTAATTTTTCTCCATTTTATTATAGCTGGTTATATTTTACAGTGTATATTATCTATTTGTAGCTCAATTAGTTTCTGTAACTAAACTGTCTTACTTTAATTGAAATTTTATAATTTTAATCTTTGTTAAAGAAACAGTATTTTGCTTTATTTTTTTTTTCAATGCAGTGTTTACAATGTACTCAACTGGTGTGAAGAATAAAACATTGTATTATTTTGTAGTTAAGACAATTTGAGGAAAACCTAACTCCATATAGTAGCCATTTTAGCACAGGCAGTTTATCCAAGCTTTCAAAGTTATCTCTTCCCTTAACCAACAAAGTGCTCTCTTCCCTCAAGTCATGATGGGCAGTAAATGACCACACCTTGCAGCACTCAGGAGTCAGTCCAGTGAAACTGACCACAGGCTTTCTTATATTACTTTCAATATGTGGCCGTTTCATTTTCTTTCATTTCCTTCTAGTGTACTTCCTGACTTAAATATCCAAATACAATAAAAGTAAAAAATCAAGAAGGAAACATGAAAGTGATTTTATGAAATATAAGAAAAGAAACACTGAAGACCGATGCTGCCATTTGCATGCTTTTCTAGAATTTACATATTACAAAACTATACATTTTTATCTTGGTTTGTTATCTTGCATGTTTTGCCATTAGCTATATTTTTAAAGGTAGTGATGTGTTTCCCATCTGCTAAAAGATACCTAATAGTTTAAGTCACTCAAATTTCTGATGTGTGTTTAGACCCCTGACTTCCTAGTGACTGTCCTCGCTGTCAACGGCTACTGTCCCCTCAACCCATGATGCTACTGACGAATGGTGGTAACAACTACAAATGGCTGTTGTGGTAAACAGATTCACACATTATTTTCATGTGTAAATAGACAATAAAATGCAGAGATAATCAGATGAGAGCAAATACCCTGTAACTCAAAGAACGAATAACAAGTTTCTCTGGATACACAGCATTACCAGGGTCATGACTCCCATGCGGTCCATTTCCCGGGCCGGACTTCTTGGTGTGAGCTTTGGTGTAGAGTGCCCACTCGGGGGAGATGAACTGGCGAGTGATGAAGCTGTAACAGACGCAGTGATGGACGTGCCTGGGTGGACCCTTGCCAAATTCAGGCCTTCCAAGCTTACACTAGCCACTCTGTTCTCAATCTCTTCTGCTCGCAGTTCTGTAGATTCCTTTTCTTCTTGAATTAGCCTAGGAGACAGAAATATATTTTCCCCATTATGAGACTGCTAGTGGCAATTAAATTTCACCCATAAATTACTCATTTAAGTACTATAAGATTTTGTTTCAAATCTAGCATTCATGTTTTCTTTTGAGGTGGGTCAATTTTAAATTGCATGGATTTGCTGGCTATGATGAAGAAAAATCTGGGTGTGTTTTTTTCCTTTAAAACTTTTATGGCATATATTCAAACTTTCTAATTTGACACCTTTAATTGCATAATAAAAATTTTCATTTCAACAATCGCTTCTGTATAGAATGTGTAATTATAATTTTCATATATATTATGAAATAATTCATAATTAAAACAAAATGTCTATGTTTCATTGGCTCTGATTTTAAAAACAAACAAAAACAACAATGAAGTCAGGCATGGCAGTATAACCTATAATTTCACTTTTGGAAGACAAGATAGATGTAGTATAATAATGACGTCAAAGCTGGTTTGGGTAGCAAAAGGAGTTTCAGCAGAGCCCAAATCTCTCCCATCCTATCCCCCTCCCTCCCTCTCTCCTCTCTCCTCTCTCTCTCTCTCTCTCTCTCTCTCTCTCTCTCTCTCTCTCTCTCTGTGTGTGTGTGTGTGTGTGTGAGTGTATGTCTCATTTCGAAATAGAGTAGGGCCACATTGAAAGGCAGATCTCAGGTACTGCCAAGTACAGCAGATTACTCACAAGTACAAAATCAATCTGGATTTTCATGTGATAGTTACAAAAAGAATTTAACATTTGTTATTAAGAATAGAAGTATCAGCACTAGTTTATACTATTATTTAAGTAAATAGTGTGTTTTCAGGTCTCTAGCTCTGCCAGGGAAGTACAAATACGCTACTGTCATCATATGCTCTGCAATGCAGATCCCTCTACACATAGTATTAAGATCCCAAAGAAGCCTGGATCCATGGGCTGCCACTGTATTTGCAGACGAAAACACAGCAAGTCATAAGGGTGGGACCTTGATTTGACAGAATTAGCCTTCCTTTTGTCTAACTTCTCTCTTGACCTCCCTGCCACTTAGCCTTTCCCACAAGCCAGGAAAAGAAACTTCACTAGAATCCAAACCCTGCCAAAACCTTACCCTTGAATTTAGTAATTCTCTGGACCTACTAATACATGCTTCACTGGTATTGCATGAAAAGAAAGGATGGTGTTTTAAAAATGACATTAAACATCAATAAAACTACAAGAAATTAGTATTCATGTGTGATGGCCAAGATAACATTTTAGAAAAAAGTAATTTCACACGTTTAAGTGAGTTCTGTGTATTTTAATTTCTATCCTCGACATTCTTAGCTTTGGGAAAATACAAGCTAAATCTATATTGGCATTTAGTTTTACCCTGGTCACAATGGCTATGATCAAACAACTGACAACAAATGTTGGAGAGAATGTGGGGGACACTCATTCACTGTTCATGGAATTGTAAATTTGTGCATTCAGTAAAAGAATTGGCATTGAAAACTCTCCGATAGCTGAGTGGACAGTCAAGACCTAAGTTCACCCCAAGAATCCTTACCAGGGTAATGGACCCCATGGGAGACATGGCCTTGTTATGATATATACATATCATAACCTGAGCTGTTAAAGTCTTTCATGCTTTATCTAATACTTATGAATATTTTCTCTAGCATTAGGATATTCTATACATTTTCTTGCCTTTTATGGTGGGTACCATTGTTATTATCATTATTGGTTGAGGAAACAGTAGCCAACAAGGTGATACAACCATTCAGAAGACAGATATTTAAATATACATTAGGAGTGTGAGTGATCTAAACACTTAAATAAATACCTTTTATCTTACTTCACAAATATTTTTCTGAAGTTGAAGACATATTAAAAGCATGAAAATTTCAGGCAAATGTTTCAAACTAGAACACATTATACTGAGTGAGATGACCCAGACCCTGAAATATAACCCAGATTTTGAAGGATGAACACTGCGTGTGTTTACTTATTATTTATGGATCTTAGTTTCAAACCTTTAGATGTGAGTATATAACATGGAGGGACAAGGAGAGAAATGAGAATTGTGGGGGAGAGTTACTTGGGCAGAGGGGTAGAGAGAGCAACACACAGAGAGGAAGCATGTAGGAAAAATAACACCTAGGATGCTTTAAAAGACATAAGGAATCACTTTATTTTATACTTGCTTTGGAATGTGTTTGTGTGCATTGTGTGTGTGTGTGTGTATGTTCATAATTTAAAAGTAGCTAAGATATTTACAGTGACAGTGATCACACCAAAGGCCACAGACAATTAAAAAAAAAGAAAGAAAGAAAGAAAGAAAGAAAGAAAGAAAGAAAGAAAAGAAAAGAAAAGAAAAGAAAAGAAAAGAAAAGGTGGGAAAGATTGGTGGTCAGGTGCCAAGGGGGCCTCAAAACAATATAAGCTATTTTTGATGCCCTTGATTGCCTTTCCAAACTTGAAGCTTAGATCCAATTTCTTAAAAAGCCAAACAATTTGGACAGAGTACTTAGAATGAATTGAGCTGGAATTGATCTTGAAGCCTCTTCCCTGGTAGCTTCCACAGCTATGCAAGCTGCCAAGGGAGAATGCAATCAATAGTTCTACCCAGCTGGAACACCTCTGAACAACAATGATTAGAAAGACAAGATGGTTTAGCAGCCATCTATTGGAACTTAAGAATCTCTCAATAGCACGGAGTTTATGTCTGGTATTGTAAACCTCTCCCCCAAACCAATATCTAGTGAGAATTTTGACCCTAGAGGAGAATCTACTACCTACTACCCTAAAGTCATATAATGTCTACCTTCTAAGTACAAACCTTAGACCCACAGGTGAGTATAGTTCTTACCCCTAATCAGTGGTGCTTAATTTTGTAGCACATGGGGTCATTACCAAGAGCCACAAGTACTCCAAGTGCAGAGAAAACTAACACATATACATACAAGTATATGTTTATACACACACACACACACACACACATACACACGTGTATAAATGAGTAACATCAAATGAACTCAGCAGGTAATATCCATAAATCTATGTCTCTACATATAGTCATATATCAAACTTAATAAAGGATCCATGAAATTGAGTAGTGGGGTTACAAAGGAGGAGCTTCAGGGAGGAAGGGAAAAGAGGAAATTATAGAAATATAACATTAATATGTAAAATTCTCCAAAACATAAAAATTACTCTTTTATATCATTCTTAACATCATTACTATGTATGATTCATGTCTAATCTTTGAGGAAGGTGACTTACCTTGATGCATCTTGTAATAAGGCATGTTCTCAAATGGAAGGCATGAGGAAGACTGATATTCTGCAGGCCTAACAAGGCACCAGGAGATGCCAAGCCAAACAGTTTGAGAAACATATTTGATGCATTAAGGTTTCCTAAGCTCCTGAAACCATCACACTGATACCTTATTTCTTTGTTGATTGCATCCAGTTGTTCTTGCAGCATCATAGCTAGGGTCTGGGCATCAGAATGACCACTTGGAGAGAGAAGATCCATTGAGCTAAAAATTGTTTCTCTATCATCATCATCAATATCAGACATTTCGGTGTCACTTTCAAATGGGTGGCTGCCTAGGACTCCAATTTGCTGAGTTCTGTTCCATTCATGATCCCCAAGAGATTTCACCTGAATGGTAAGTGAACAAATCAGATACTCATATTAAAAGAACGAATCTGAAAACTGACAACCACAGCGGCGACATCAAAACAAGCATGCATGCCTTCCCAGCTGCTCAGCCAAATCCAGATCAAGTAGTAATATTTTAATTCACCAGTACAATAAAAATATTTCCCGACATCTAATGAGATAGGGGTTATGAATTGTTCACTTAAATTAATATTTTAGTAGGAGCAGATATGACAAATTTCCATAAGATTTATAAACAATCAGCTTTCAAGGTAGTGATTGTTTTTAAGATATTACATTTGCAAAACACCCCACCCCCCCAGATTTCCAAATATAACAATTCACACTTAATCTCAAGCATTTTCATTTCTTATTAGTCATGTTCACACTTTTCTCATGAAAAGATGAGTATATAAATATTAACAGGAATCATATTGCATAATAAATTTCTTCTCAAAATTCAATTGATAGATTTAGGCAAAATATTACTTCCAATAATTGAAAAACAACATAATTTCGTGTCTATTGTCATGCTCACTTTTACCCTCACTAAACTTTTGAAACAATCATGGCTTATGTTTTTTAAGTTAACATAGCAATTCTTTTGAGAGTTTTGAGTAATCTATAGGTAAATTATTTTGCCAACTGTGATCTCAATAGACTGGCCCTAGAATTTTATGCTCTTAATGTAATTAATTTCACTGCTACAGTCATTCAAAATGAGTTATGTGGGAGATAGAACTACATTTTTTGATATACCAAATTAATGACATATATCAGGGACAGGCAGTGATGAACATGATGTAAACATAGCATGTACACTGATAACTAACTTATCTGTCATCATAGAGCCCCCATCCAGAAGCTGATGGAAGCAGAAGCAGAGATTCACAGCTAAACACTGATTGAACTGGAATTCAGTTGCAGAGAGGGAGGAGTGATGAGAAAAGAGGTCAAGACCAGGCTACAGAAACCCACAGAAACAGCTGACCTGAACAAGGGTGAGCTCATGAACCCCCAGACTGATAGTTGGGAAACCAGCATTGGACAGATTCAGGCCCCCTTAATGTGGGTCTCAGTTAAAAGGCCTGGGCAGAGTCTAAGGGACCTCGGAGAGTGGAACCAGGATGTATTCCTGGTGCACAAAAGGACTTTGGGAGCACATCCCCCATGGAAGGATACTCCCTGAGCCTAGAAACAGGAGGGAGGGCCCTAGATCCTACTCCAAGTGACTTGACAGATTTTGATGATCTCTCCTGATGAGGCATCTCCCTCCCTGTGGAATATGTGAGGGGGTGATGGGATGGGAGGGGTTTGGGGGGCATGGGACGAAGGGAGAGGGAACTGAGATCAATATGTGAAATAAGAAAAAAATTATATATATGTATATGTATATATATATATATATAATTTAATAATTAAATACAAAATAAGTTACTGCCAGAGTAGCAGTTTCTCTTGAACAGGACTTCACAGGCAATTTTTAAAGTCTTTAAACACTCTTTAAAGGGTGTTTTAAACAGCAATTTTTAACAAAACACTTTCTCAATTTAGATAAAAACATAATGTTAGTGCACAAGAATCCTAGCATACCAAATGTCCATTTGCTGGTCAATATAACATAGCGGTTAAAACATAGCATTTCTCATTACCTACATCTAACTCCAATTTTGAATCAATGTACTATCTCTGTACTGTGGAATACTTAATATTTCTTTGCCCAAATCTTAAGTTTCTTAAAATTAGTATGAAAATTGAACACAATTAATAATGGCAAGTAAATATGTGGAAAATTTCAAGTACATATTAGATTCCTTACATTACTTAATTTCAAAATAAGTCATTTTCCATCCTTGACACCAGCATAAATTAATGCTGGCATTCAGGATTCTCTTCTAGTAGAAACACCATCTAGAATAGCATCATCTTATTTAGCTAAAATGACTAATGCAGGGAGAAAACAATCACCTTTGGCTCATCTCTTCGCACACCCATGCGGCCTCTCCTGGGCCTCCGGATTACTTTAGTGGTTCTATAGTCAGACTGGCTGTCCACAAGGGACCCCACTGAATACCGCATCTCAGCTGATGTGTCTAGATGAGTCCTGGAAAACAAAAATATCAAGTCTCACAAATTAAATTCATCGCTACCTGCTTCTAAATTGTTGATAAGGCAGAATCTCTCAAGCAACTAAATCTCCAGAAAGAACAATATTATTCTTATCTTACTCTTGGACATGAGATGATGGGGTAGATTTTCATTCTTGAATGTAAGGTACATTTTCTAATTTTAGACTACTCTTATAACCTTATTCTTTCTTACAGTTTTCAATATTGTATTAAAATGAACTATGTTAGCAACAGCCAGGGTCCATTGATACTAGACATTCTGTATTGTTTTTTTCTCACTTGCATATAGGCTCATACCATTTATTGCTATAATTTTAAATATGCTTACTGAAAAATGTATGAACTTGTGAGTTCAGAACTTTTAAGTTTTATAAATTACAGATAAATTCACTACCACTTTCTATCCTGAAGTGCTCTGTTTTCCAATTTAGAGAAACGGTAAAATGTTTGCTTCACAATGAATAATCTCATTTTAGTAAATAGCTAGGATTTTAACTTTGAGTAAATCATTTTTACAAGATGAAGACAAATCTTGGTAATCACACTTGATGCTTCATTTTGCTTAGAGATGAAATAGGTGAAAAATTGCAACTGAAAAATACCACCACACTGGTTTTCAATAAACATGGTAATAAACTACACTGTAATCATAATGTAAAGTCAGGCACATTGTATATAGATTTACTGCAAATTAAATTTATTCTTGTAGTAGTGTTGGTGATAACAAAAGTGACTTCATGTTGTCTTATAAAATGAAATCACAGATTCATCATCAGTCAGTGCTTTCTCTTCAATTTTGGGCTCCTCCTGATTAATGACACTCCCTTCCTTAAGTCACTGTAGAAATCAAAGATAAGCCTTTGGTCTATATTTGTCAGGATTTATAAAGTTTAGATGGGATCCAGTTGTTTACAACAGTAGTAGGTGACGATAAACTACTTTAAGGAAGACCTTGTTTTACCAGATGATTAATTAGATCAAATGAAATAAAGAGTAAATCTTCAAACCGATGACAATGTTTTTATAGCAGTGAACATGAGTTCAATGTCCATTTATCTCAAATGAGTCGTATATAAAAGTGATTAACTCAGAAATGGTATAACTCGTGGTCTTAGTCTGTTGGACAGACATTCCATTTTATGAAGAAAAATTAAATTTTAGTCACTATTATTTAACCAGAAAGACATTCCTTCTATGCCATGAATATTTTTTCAATTCCAGTGGACCAATGAGCGAATGGATAGAATTATAGTCCCTAAATTTCCTACATCAAAATAACCTAGGTCTATATTTCTATGACTGCTCAAGTCATATCTTTGGCCATCACAGAGGAGTGTCTACCATAACAACTGTGTAAAATTACTGCTTGCCTCTCTACAGTTTGTGCTATACCCCTTCTGGATCGGTGCTGGCTCTATTAATTGTGGTTTATTTGCCAGCTAGAGAAGCACTAGGGGCTCCAGGGGTGATGAAAACAGATGTTGTTAAAAGGAAACAGGGGAATGCTGCATTGTAGACTGTTGTAAAGATGAAATATAGAAAACAAAAACAAACTAGGACAGCATGGGGCAACTGGACATTTAAGTTGAAACTCAAAGAATGCTAGACACATAAAGGTGTTAAGAGGCCACTTTAGCAGAAGCAATGGCATGTTCAAAGGCTCAGAAATAAAATAAAGTGCAAATTATTGAAGGAATTGAATGCCCGTCAGTTAAGATGGATGAAGACGGATGGGAAACTAATGTGAAACTGTAAACTAGGAAGTTCCAAATTACAGAAGCCTCAATGGGACAAGAATGTGTTTTAAGCTAAATACTGATATGCGATAGTTTTTTTTAATGGTATACGGTTCAGAGAAAACAAAACAAAACATGAAAGCCATTCTAGAATGACAAGTTGTTATCATCCTGAGTGGAAATATAGCTTCCTCTATACACTTTTTAAAACCTCATTTTATAATAAGGTATAGAGGAAGCTATATTTCCACTCTACATCATTTTCTGCATACCTATTAGTTGAAGTTGAAGTAACTTAAAAAAAAAGAATGTCTTTCTTCAATTTGATTACTGTAGATGATGAGTTCAGGCTTCCTACCTACTATTGTTAGGAGTGTTGGCTGGAGTCATACTTGTAGGTTCATGGGAGTTTCCCTTGCACCAGGTTTCTACATGACACCAAAATGCCCTGATCAAGACATCTCTTTCATCATTCCCTCCCTTTCTCCTGCCCTGCAAGACAATCTCTCAGGTTTCCATCCCCACCTCCTTGCCCCTAGTTTACCCAGGAGATCTCTTCTATTCCGCTTCCCAGAGAAATCTATGTATCCCCTTTTGAACCCTTCCTGTTAACTAGCCTATTCAGGGCTGTGGATTGCAACATGGCTATCCTTTACTGTATAGTTAATATCCACTTACAAGTGAGCACATACCATGTTTGTCTTTCTGAATCTTGGTTACCTCACTCAGGATGATTTTTTCCTAGTTCCATTCATTTGTCTTCAAAGTTCTGCATATATGAGACAATTTATATCTTGGTCCACTTGTAGAACTCCTAGCAGTGGGAGCCAGACTTGTTCCCTGACACTTTGGGACACTTTAGCAGGCCTTAGGGAACCTATTCCTCATACTTTGCTGCCTTAACAAACCTTAATATGAGGGGAGGAGCTTAGTCCTACCTCAACTTGATATGCCATACTTTGTTGACACCCATTTGAGGCCTGCTCCTTTCTCAGCAGAAACAGAGGAAGAGTTGATTCAAAGTGGGAGGCAGAGAGGAGGTAGGGGGAGGGAGTGGGGAGAGAAGATGGAGGGGAAACTTAGGTCAGGATGTATTAGAAATGAATAAGCTTAATTTTAAAAGTCTTTCATTTCTTTAAGCAATGACTTATGAGGGTCATCAATGTAATTATCAATAATTTTTATAAATGCTTACTTGTGATATGATTACAATATCAATGTACAATAAAACCATTTTCTAAAATAATTCATTTGCAAAGCCTTGTGAAACCCTGGATATATTAATTATACACAACTCATGCTGCTGAAGATAGAGTAAGAGGAAGACTCATCCATTGATGGTGGGACTACAAACTTGTACAGACCCTGTGGAAATAAATTCCATGCTTCCTCAGAAAGATGGAAATTGATCTATCTCAGGGTCCAGCAATACCATTCTTATGAATATGTCAAAGGATGCTTCATCCTACCACAGAGACACTTGCTCAAACATATTCATTACTGCTCTATTCATAAAATTCAGACACTGGAAATAATCTAGAGGCCTATTAACAGATGAGTGGGCAAAGAAAATGTGATAGATTTACACAGTGGACTAAGCAGTTAAATAAAACTATGAAACTCTCAGACAAATGAATGGAACTAGAAAAAAATCTCTTGAGGTAACCCAGGCCCAGAAAGTCAAATACAGTATGTATTCACTTAAATGTGGGTATTATCTTTTAAGGCAATGATAACCGAGCTATAGTACACAGAACCACAGAGGATCAGTGTAGAGTAAGGGACCAGGAGGGACAGATACATCTCCATAAGAAAGAGAAGTAGAATAGACAGTTTTGATGACTGGGAATGGGGTACTTGATCAAGAGAAGAGGGGTTAGGGAAGATGGGGGTGGGGGAGGGAATATGATGAAAAACAGCTGTGGTTAATTTTCACTTGAAGGTTAGCATGGAAACCTAACACGGTTTAAGCTGCATATACATGTATAAGTGTATATACTCACATATGTATATAAATATATATATATGTATGTATGTGTATGCACATGTACATGCATACATCAACATTTATTCATGCATGTATGAATATATATGATATAAAGGAAACTGTCAAATAACGAGGGAGACATCTCTTGTCACCAAATGAAGTTTTGAAGTTTTCAGTACTGGACTGGGTTGCTTCTAATTGAGTTGGTCAAAGGGTTTCCATAGGAGCCTAAAAACAACCGAGGCTGTTGCCAAGACTATAGATAGGTTGCTCTCCACACAATGTATAACAAATCCCTATTGCTGAAGATAATAGCTACACATCTCATTAAACATCAAAGAGCTGAGCTGGTGCCTTCACCCACAGTCTCTAGCATCCTTGATAAAGAAGATACTCTGCACACTACCAAAGGAAAAATTTAACTGCCAACGGAGCTGCAAAACCTTTGATGTACAATGGTGACATGCCTACAGATGTGCTATTGTAACTTGGGAGTAACCAACATCTGACTTGACTTAAGGCCAAAACCCTGAGATGGAGCCCATACCTGATGATAGCCAGAGCCTGGCTAGCCCATTGACATAGGGTAAAACCAAACACTACTGCTCTATCAGAAGAAATAGCAATAGAGTCTCTCGTGACATTCTGCTATAGTCATAGACTAGTGCCTTGCTCAGCTATCATTAGAGAGCCTTCCTTCTGCAGCAGATGGTGATAAATTTGGAGACTTGCAGCCAGACAACATGCAGAGACAGATAAACCTTGGAATACTCAGCTCTAAATGGGATATGTCCATCAAGTCCCTCCCCTAAGTGCTCTGGAAGAGGAGGCAGAAAGAGAGTAAGAACCAAAAGGAGGACACCAAGGAAATAATGCCTTGTAAAAGCAACAGGATCAGCCCAAACATGGATTCAGAGAAACTGCACTGTTCCTTATGACATAGAATATATATATATATTTCTTGAGCCTCTTCTTGGGTTTCTTTTTTGTTTGTTTGTTTGGTTGGTTGGTTGGTTTCCCCCCTATTCTGATGGTTAGTTTTTGTTTTCTTTTATATTACATTATATTATTTTATCTCTTAAAGATATGTTTATTTTATAATCAGAGACAGAAAGGGGATGGGTTCAGATAGGAGGGGCCAAGTACTGGGGGGGGGGGGAGGGAAGGAAACCCATACCACACTTAGGGTATATTACATGAGAGAAAAAAAATTATGGAAAGAAAAAGAAAATTTTAATATCTCCTCTTGTAATACAGTGCAATTTTATATGTACTCCCACGTTTTCAAGTTAAGAGTTGTTTATGCACTTGTAGCTACATTCTTGTACCAACTACACAAAAGATTTTCCAGTTGTATTTTAATTGCATAACTTCAAAGTTGATTTCCAAATTAGAAAGTGGTCTCTAAATTTAGAAACAAATTTGTAGATTAAAATGTGCCAATGTCTACTGAGAAATGTGAGATCCTTATTTTACTTGAAAATGACTGAAAAATATAAGAAAATTCACATGGACGTTTGCCGAAATACAAATAAACATTTAACTTAATGTTACCTCGATATAGTGGGTTCAATTAGAGAGCCAGTTCTCACTTTCATTTGGTCAAGTTCAGATCTTAACTTCTCAATTTCTTCTGCCAATCTTTCCTAAAAATTAAAAAGAAACAGTTACTCAGATGATGGTCACATCCAACAAATCAGCATTAAATGGTGATGAATAAATAGATACTTAAAAGGGCAATGATTAAAGGACACTGGATATAATCAGAAAGTACACTTGTGTTTACTTTTCATAATGTAAATGCCAACAACAAGTCAACAAAACCAACTCTATTCTTGATATTTATTAATCCTAAATATTTGTGAATTTGTGAGATTATTAGGATCATAAATATAACTATGACACTTAAAATGCAAAAGACAAATCATATCTAGTTTTAGGTTAAATAAAACATCTTTACATACTAAGTAAGTATGATAGCTATTCTTGGTTGTCAACTTGACTACATCTAGAATTAATGAAAACCCAAGTGGCTGGGTTCACTTTTGAATAATGAAAACCCAAGTTCACCTGTAATGTAATTTTTGGTTGTTGTTTTTTAATTAATTCTTTCAAAGTGAGAAAACCTACTTTTAACCCTGATCTTGAGGTGGGGAGACTTATCTTTTATCTGTGCCACCTCTTCTCATGGAAGCCGGTGTAGAGGACATAGAAGAAGGAAGCTTGCTCCTTGAAAATGCTCTCTCATTGTCCATGAGAAGTCTATTTCTTCGCTGGTAATAGAGTCTACTTCCTCAGAATTTCAGTGCATACTGAAGACCAGCTGAGAAGTTGAGCCTTGTGGACTAAACAACTATTAGGTTCTTGATCTTGAACCTTTCACTGATAGGATATGGACTAGTTGGACCATATCCTGTAAACTACTCTAATAAGTCCCATTTCTGTGTGTGTGGTATGTGTGGTGTGTGTGTGTGTGTGTGTGTGTGTGTGTGTGTGTGTGTGTGAGATAGAGAGAGAGAGAGAGAGAGAGAGAGAGAGAATAGTAACAAAGATTTAGCACTGAAATATGAAAGTTCTTCCTTGAAAAGTAGCCAGTAGATGATCTAAACTAGGAAGCACATAATCATAATTCATATTGGTGTTGGAATCCATGAGATCCAATAAATCTGCGAGAAACTGAAAAAAAGAAGAGCTTTGGGAAGAGTGTAAGCACTTTAGATTGTAATGATAAAAAAAATCACAAGGAGAAAAATAAAAATGGGGAAGACTTGGTATGGAGGAGATATTGTTGATAGTTGGTTGTGATCCTAGTTACTTAAGTGGACATTTGAACAATTGTACACATACTAAGATCAGTGAGTGTGCTTAGCTGTATGGAATGACAGCCCCCAAAATAAAGTTTGATCTAGGGATACCTTTTCTGGAGACTGACATTAGCAAGGATATAATGCATAAGATGACTTGGGATGCATAAGTTGCCTGGGCAGATTGTTGCAGCTACAGGCTTGAGTAGGTGTTGGGGGAGTAGGTTTGAGGATATTGCCAGGAACCCACAGAACTTTAAATAACTTAACATTGCATAACAAGATCAAGTTCAAAATCCACAATCTGGTCATAAATAGATCACACACACATCAAAATTCTGATGATTCATCTATCACTCATCCTTGGTTCCTCTGTGCTGTTCCATAGGGTCCAACATCTCCCTGGACCACTAGCTGTTCACTAAATCTGTGCAAGAGCCTATTAAAATATGGTCTCCTCTGTGCAATCTTTATTCAGTAATAATTCAATGCTATGTTTCAGGTACCCCTGCTATTGTATGGTATTAAACAGACAGAAGAGTATAGACATTCTGACTATGGAACAAAATATATAGCATCCCATAAAACTCTTAAGTTTCCCTTTCCTGTCTTACTTTCAGTACCTTCTGTATTATTGCACTGATGATAAACCTTTAATTCTTTTTTCCTCCCTCCCCTTTCCCTCCTTCCTGTTTCTCTTTTGCTCTCCTTTCTTTTCTTCACACCCTTTCACCCTTCTCGTCCACTATTCCCTTTTATATGTTTCCAATACACAATTAGAGTATGTACATCAAGCTGACAATTTAAGGGAAGTTTTAAGGAAACAAGGCAAACGAAGTAGGAGACTATGCATTACTAGTATTCTATCACAACTTTTAAGATGTAAAAACCCATGCTTTGTCAGCCTTGTAAGTCACATATCCTACAAATATGAATGGCTGGTCCTCACCAAAGACCTCGACAATTTAAAAATATCACACTTATAAATAACTAACAAGCACCTGTAGTCCATCTGTGTGTCTTGTACTTACAAAGTCTACAGCACTGTCTGTCACTACCTCATTCTTTAGTCACATCCCGAGTCCCTGGAGGCCTTCTTTGTATCATCAGTGTGCTGTGGTCTTTACCACTGTGGCTCATGTGAATCTGATCATATCGACCCTCGGTTTCTGCTATTCTGAATCATTGTTTGTATGGTATGCTTCTTGTACTAGATTTTCAATTACTTTAAAGTAGGATAATTCTAGAAAGTATTAAAGACACTGTTCTTCTATATAATAGGTACTTAAATTGCTTTTGCATAAATTATTTCAAAAACTGCACAAAATTTAGTGAATATATGAATATGTTTTTATTTTATTTGTGTAAGGTCAAAAACAAAATAAGACCATCTTTATTAGTAGAGATAGAGATTAATAATGATTTTAAGTTAACCGTATTTGAGTTTCCTATGTACTTTCAACGTGTTAAATTCTAAAATCTGTTCAGTTATTATATAAATTTATGCTTTGCTATAAGCATAAAAAGTTGAAATCATTCTCATCTTATTTACTTTACAATATATACATCAATATGAATAAGATAAATGAGAAAAATTTTCCCATAATACCTTGTCATGTAAAGATTCTTCAAGATTTTTTCTGAAGGTCTCTGATTCTTGAATCAAAACGTTCTATAGAAATAAACAGAAAGAAGCAACATGCAGAAAATATTTAAATCTTTATATGAACACTGTAGCACTCAAGAACCTCTTATGCTTCCTTTCCTCATAAATCTATATCCTGGTTTCTATAGAAGCTAAGTTCCATTGAATCCTTTAAAAGTGATACTCAACAGTTTGCAAAATAAATTATCTAAATGAGAAATGCCATTTTTTGCTACACTTGGATAGATGAACAGCATAAATATTACCCTCTGAGCTACTACTCCAATCCTTCTCATCCTATGTTTTAAATTGAGAAAGAATTAACCTATTATTCAAATGATAAGTGGGCAATACCAGGCCAACTATTAGCAGTACACTTTGATCTCTTAATATGTTAATAAACCAAAATTCGCTAACATTTTGTTATAAAATTTTCCCTATTTTTTTTCCTGACTGTATGTCAATGGAAAAATGCCTGAATAAGATAGTGAGTGAAATTCTGTGTAGATTTGTCCTCCTAATGTTTTAATAATTATTTCTCTGTTTAGGTCTAGGTTTGGCCACCAGCTCTAACAACTCAAATTGGTGTGATAATTTTCAGTTACTAATGTGGCAATCATGATTTTGAATCATGTTTCAGGCTGAACATAAGCACATTTCCTCTAGCTGACATAGATTCTTACTCTCAGTGCCAGTGGTTAGTAAACTATACACTAAATAGTTTCAAGCAGACTCACACTCAATATTTATGTTTGCCTTCAGAGTGTCCACTTACAAATAACGAAAAGGTAAAGAATACATTTTTATCTCAAATCATGACATAGTTTTATAGATCTGATTCTTACAAACATACTAATATGTGATATATATCATATGTCATATATTCATTCAAAACAGGATGTTGTAGTATTTTATTAAAATTATTGATTCACTTACAAAGACAATATTGAGTAGTTTTAGGCGAAGGAAAGTCAGTTGAATACCTGGCACAAATAACAATTACAGCAGGCTAGGAAAACATCACAACACAGACAATATGGCTAAGCATCCATGTGCAATTGTACCTTCTCTTCCAAAGCGGCCATCCTTTCCTTCAAGTGAAGCTGTAGGCGCTCATTGGATTCTGTCAGAAGCCTGTCCACAGTATCGGATAATCTTTTATTATGTTCCTCATTCATTTTCTCTCTTTGCCTAGCCTTATATTTAAGGAAAAAAGCAAAAATATTTTTGGCATGAAAAGAAGAAAACACTCACTGCTATTCAATGTTAATTTTAAAGTTTCACTAGTTTTGAAATGAATATAATTTTATGCATGAATTTTATTAAACTTTGTAGAACCTAGTTGCTCTGAAATTCCCAGAACATAATCATATAATTTTAAACATGGCTTCTAATTAAGATTGTTTTCTTCCAATGTGCAGTCTGTGGATTCAAAGACTAAGGATAGAGGGAAAAGCTTTTACATACTCTTTGAAGTTCCTGATTCTTCTCTTCCAGTTGGCCCTCTAGATGTCTCATACGCTCCTCAATATTTCCATGCCTCTCTTCAGCCTATTAAGAAATACGAAAAGTGGACCTAAAATGCAAGATGAGTTAATTCCTCCCATCTAAACAAACTGAAATAAAATGTAAAGCAAGCTACTACCCAACTGCAAACATAGTTTCCAAAAATAAACTTTATTTAAACAGGCAGCTGAACAGCATTGCTTGAAATGTGTCAGCTACAAAGGCCTGTTACATTCAAGCATCAGCAAAACACTGGAGTTATTTATGAGCAATGAAATCAGCCAAATGTAACATGCAGACTGTGCATGGTTTGAACACAAACCTGCCATTGTCCAATCTTAAGCTCCTTGAAGCACTGAACTGCACAGATGGTCGATTATCAATAAATAAAAGTAACATAATTTTTATAAATGAAAAGAAAAAAACTTAGATGGATTCTATTTAGCAATAGAAAGTAAAGTCCAGTAGGACTACCTTCCTACGTATGGAGATCATTTCTTGTAGTTTAGCTTCCATAACATATTGATAATCATCAGATGAGGTAGAAGAGGTTGGATCAGACTAACAAGTCAAGGAAAAGGAGAGGGACAAAATTGAAAAAATCAGAACTAAAGACACTGACACCAAACAGAACATAGTACAGAATGCTTAAAATAAAAGTGACAGCAAGTTCAATACTTTAATAGACAAAATTTTATGTAGAAGGAACTATTCTGATATCTAGTGAAGATAATGCAGTTGATGGTTGTAATGGAAGACAATGATATGCTCAAATAAAAAGCCACAGACCTGAAGTATGGAGGATTAGTACAGCTGGCAATGAATGATTTTTACAAGGTGAGTTAAAGCAACTCCGGAAATGACATGTAATAACTGGGATTATGAGAAACCAAACACTATAATGTCTCTGATAGATGCTTAAAAATTTTGTATTTTGGTTTTTCATGTTGCTAGATAAAAAATGGTGTATGGTGTAAACCTTGATTTTAAGGAGAACTTCCTTGGTTATGACTCAGGGGCGTCATATTGGGATCAATATTATGGCCTCATATGTGGAAATCAGAAATAAGCCTAAGCCCCAGGATATGTTATCAGCAACAGTGGTCCACATAAGAAATGACTCCAAGATACATCCTACATTATTCTAGGAAGCAATCCTCAAGTGTAATTTAAATATTCAAATAAAAATGATCAAAATTTCTCAACAGGTGATAATGTCACAAGGACAAAAAAACTTGTGAATGATGAAAAACAATATGAAGGACCACATCAAAAGAGTGTCTGCATTAATTTGTTGCTATGGAATAGTGCCTTAGAGTGAATAGGAAGCACAGCGCCTCTGTGATCTAATTTTTGCCTAGTGCTGAGTTTAGTTACATGTCTTGCTGTTAGGACACCACAGGTGTAGAGTGTTAATACATGGGACATTGCTGATAGCTGAATTGTATTAGTATGTTATGTGCGAAATATTTATTACATCAACAATCTAATTACAATTACACATTAAATAATTACATCACCAAAACTGTCTTTGTCAGTAATGCAATTTTAGCTCTAGAACATTTTCTTTGCCATATCAGCTCATTTGGAAATAGTGAACCTTATTTTAAACCAATACAGGACTATATATAAGCATATGCAGTAACTGAAAAGGAACAGTAACCAGCTAATATGCATTTGTGCTACTTAACACAACAAATTCTGAGGTACGTTAAGGAGTAACATATAACTTTTCAAATCTGTTGTATTTGTGTAAATTATAATTCATCATCTGTACATCTTAGAATCCATCTCATAAGTTTATAAACCTAGATTATCACAATTTCCTCCCCAGTGTCTTACACAGGTTTCAATAGAAGCAGCAAGAAAGGCTACCATGACCCTCAAAGGTAAGCAAATGAGTTTTGTATTATTTAAATTTCAATTAATTATCTTATATTTCTTATATGTGCTTCCGTATGCGGGTTAGAAGGCAGATAAACAGAACTGTAATTACAGGTGATAGTTAGAGCTACCCAGTGTGGGTGCTGGAAACTGAACACAGATCTTCTAGAGCAATCTCTCCATCCCTCTGTATTTATACCATTTAAAACTTGCAAATCCTATTTTAAAAATAGAAATAAGAGGTTGTTGAAATTGTGTAACCTAAATTTGCAAATGAACATGTATATTTTATAATCATTAAAGTCATTAAAATTGTATAAGTGGTTGATTCAAAAGAGTGGTATGGATATTTGAACTTCTAGAAGTATCTCTTTAATAATGTAAGTTTTTAAGATTTTAAACCTCATCATGCTTCTTCCTTCACTGGAGACCATGCAAAAACACTTAGAAAATTCACTTCCAATATAAAAAACAAATACTGTCATTTCTGAATTATGTTATTACTGAAATTTTTATTAGTACTGAAATGAATAAAATACCTCATAAAATTCAAGATGAATTATGTCCTACTCAAGTAAATTTGGATTTTAATTAAAGAAGTAGATACAACAAATCATAACACTGGGAGTCCAGAATAATCTTTGATAGTTAATTATATATAAACATCAAATTTTAGTTTTATTTATGGCCATTAATTAAGAATTCTTTGTGAAAGCCTTAAATGAGTTTTAACTACTTTGCATATCTCTCTAGATAAATGATTTAAAAACAAACAGTCTTATATAATAATCCAAGGAATAAATTTAGCCATCATCTCTAAGAAATACAGGGAGCCATTTTTAGCCAACAGTATTGTACAATATTGCCTTTAGACTTGGGGATAGCACAGTGGTATTGTTTGACACAAACCCAGTGCTTCCCAGGATCAGTCTGCTTTTATTTGTCCCTGAAGGTTCATCTTGGTTCTATTCTGTAATATGATATAGGGAAATTTCAAATGAGTGGTTTTAGGTAAATCATGACAGAAATTCATGTAAGAATGTGAATACAATCAGAATGATGAAAAAAAGTAGTACAAGAAAATCCTAAAGAGAAAATAAAACACAGAATTGATAAAAACAAAAGACACACACACACACACACACACACACACACACGTACATATGCATATATGTCAAGTTAAATGCTTGATTAGTTGTTGAAATATCATTTCAAAACACAAGAGCAGAAAATCTGAGACTTGAGCTAGGTAGACTGTAATGTAGAAGAGCAGAAAGTTTGACAAAGGGTAGAAAAAAGACCACTGATATTCGATAATGATCATATGTGGACAGCAAATTTAAACTGAATAAAACTAATTATTAAGATCATCTCCGAGGGTTTGGAGCAAACCCATGAATGGGTGCAAGGTGGCTGACATCAGAGGGCTCAGAGAACCTGACTTAAATGTTATCAACATGGTATGAGCTCAGGATATCACAAAATAAAGCAGCTGTGTCAATAGTATAAATACTATCATAGACACCTGAAATATGTTGTCATTCTAGGAGCTGACAAAAGTGATAGGAGTTAAAGAAGAAATTACACACTATTAGAAGAATTTCAAAGAATGTTAAACGTTTTCTGAAATTTTTAAAAAATCAATTCAGATAAGGGGAAGGTTATTCACCATGGTAATTAATTTCTGCCTGTATTATGTACTGTATTCTAATAAAAGTGCAGAAGAGTTACCAGATGCTAGTGATAATGGAGTCAAGTTTTAGAGGGTTTATATCATAAAATGATTTAGGACAACTTAATTTAAAGCTACACAATCAATTGTTATATTTTAAGTTATTTTTGATTATAAGTGCATCAATGGCTGCACTTATTGTAGTAATGATTTAGTAAATTATAAGGTGTATTTCTTTAGGAAAAGTATTAAATTTTGGCATTTTGTTCAGTAAATAAATACTGATGATTATTATATTCCAAGTCTTACCAGTTATTTTCTTATTCAATCTTACCATAGCAAAATTTAACATGGTAACTTTTTATGTGAACTTCTAATATCCTTTAGATTAAAAAAGAACAACTATGTGAATGTTTTAATCGATATTGTACTAATCTAAATTAAGCTTTTGTAGGAAAAAATACAATACTACCGATAAGCTTATATAGCTTTATATAACTTAGGAAACATTTTGAAGTTACATAATATATATGCTACATTTTGAACCTCTATATTTTTCACAGTACCAGAGGTATCTACTGGTGTGGTTTATGGTTACAGAGGATTTAAATTTAACAGCCTTGCCATAAAAGACTAATGTTTCATCAGGTCATACTCTAAAACTACAAAATTCACTTTAATCTGATGCTCTCTAGACCTGCTGCTTTCTGACATACATAATTCATTTTAACATGTAAGAAACCATCAAAGACTTTGTCTTATTCATTGCCTTTCTCACCAAGATGGTTAGTTTGTGTCCCCCTCTCCACCACTGTAACAATTGTTTGAATAACCTCTGTTAACCAGAGTGTTCACATATTGATGGTATTTACTCACTGTGTAGCCTGCAACACTCAAAGAACTGCTATGGTATTATGCATGTTCAGAGTGTGTTTATAGCATTCAACTGACATTAAAGTAAAACAGAATTTTTCCAGTGAAATGGATGGGATTTCTATTGTTCCTTAACAATTTAAATAGCTCTATTAGAATGACTTTATGATATACAGTATAGAACAGTTTTAGATACATTGTACCCAATCTCATTTTTTTTCATATAACTTAATAGCTTTCAACTGTAGCTTTTAGACCCCCTTCTTCTTACAATGTTTGCCATTTTATAATATAATTTACATCAACAGTTATTATATTTTATTGGTTCAATAGAAAACCATTTATACAAAGCTGATTAAATTGTAGTAGTTTATTTACATATTTTGAGATTTTTAAATAACATGGTTAATATGAGCAGAAACTACCATAGAAAATTTACTATAGCTATGGCATTAAATATTGCTTGTCTAGATAATGTTTAATAGATAAAGAAATCATCATACTCTTGTAACAGTCAGTCATTCATGTCACTGAAAGATATATGTCACAAGGAAACAGAATGTTAATGAACAAAGATAAGGAATAAAGATCTGACTAATGTATGTTTTGCAAAGCCTGAAGTAATTGTAGACTCCACTTTGACAGACAGTCATATATGCAAACATATCTAGGCTGAAAATATAGGTTTAGTACAGTACCTTTGTTAGGGCTGCAATTCTCTGAGCCAGTTCAGCCTCTACTTCAGGCAGGGTTTCAGCCTTTCTCATGGTCTGCTGTAACTTTTGCTCAGCCAGTTCAAGACGCTCTTGTAATTGTCTATTCTTCTCTTCCATCTGAAAAAGAACAATGAAGGTGCCATTTAAACAGTCAAGAGTTAGATTATCTAGAATGAGTCATATGGATTGTCTTCAGGATTTAAAACCAGCTATTACCATATTTAACTATGCTAGGTGATGACGGCTGTCATGATTTCATGTGTTATTTGTCCATTTTAATTACTGAAATTCAACACAATGAAATAGTGACTATTTTAGCATCGTAACCATCTTTACTGTTGTAACGGTATTCCAAATAAGAATGAACTTGAATGTGTGTGTAGCTTTTAACTGACATAAAAGGAAAACATGATTTAGTGACAGAACCAAGACTTTTCAGGTTAAACGGATGTGGTTTCTACTGGTCCTAGGATATCATAACAACAGAAAGCACATTTTTAAAAAAATCATAGTTTTATGTTGGAGGCCATGAGACAGAGCAGGTGGATCACTAGTGCTCAACAATCTGACATAGCGTCTGAGTAATTCTCTGAAAGGTATCCTCACCTAGAAAGGCTGTGGAGTTACTGGCTATGGAAACGTGTCGCCCCTGTCTGTCATCTCTCTCATGAGTAACTTCATTTCTTCCCTAAGAACTTCATTTCTTCCTTAAGAATAGCTTTGAATGCATTCCCACTGCTTGTGTGTTTTCTCATGTAAATGTTCCATCTACTGGGCACATATATCTGTGGCCATCAGGAAAATGATTTTATTTTGTTTGATGAACAATTGTGGTATATAGAAAATATACTGGGACATACTTCATCATTGGATCTATTTGTCCAATTGGGACTGTAGACACTATGCACAAGGTCAGAGCCACAGATGTCCAACCAAGGTTACTAAGGAAAGCATGCCAGTTGTTTGCTTGCCAGTCTGCTAACAAAAGACCTGTCCTCAAAGCTCATCTCCCTGTACCCCACTCTCTGGTCACAGTCTCACTTCTGTAGTCTTGGATCCTTGTGTTTCCATGGTAATGGCTCAGCTCCCTATAGCTTGCCATAGGAATGTGCTTTTGACCAATGAGAGGCAACGTTTGCATTTCCTTTATCACTTCAAGGCTCCTGGGAGAAAGAGAGTTTGGGAAATTGAAGAAGCAGCTAGGAGGAATTAGAAGTAGGACTGGAGAGTTAGAATACAAACAGAAAACTGAAGAAACTGATTTGGAACAGTACGTGTGAAGAATTCATTCTCCCTCAGATTTTTTAAGTCCCCCTGCTTGCTGAAGTCTCGGACACCTAAGGGGGCATCGAGACTGGTACTCAAAAATCCCTGCTAATTTTAGGCTAGGGTAAGAAAAGGAGTATAGTAGCACAGGAGTCCACACTGTAGAGTTTGGATGAACAACTTTTTGTATAGGACAAAAAGTATTTTAGAATTGTATCTCATTTAATCTCTGGCTCAATTCCTCTACTATACGGATGTAAACAAGACAACCACAAATAATGATTAAATAACTAGGTGCTTATATTCCATTAAAACTTAATTTTTAGAGGCAGGGATGCTGAGAGAGAGAGAGAGAGAGAGAGAGAGAGAGAGAGAGAGAGAGAGAGAGAGAGAGAGAGAGAGAAAAGGTATACCTTCCATTCTTGACACTGATAATATGTGTGTGACCTCAGCAAGCAGTCCTGTTTTTGAGTGTCAGAGTACTCAATAGAATAACTCCAGATAATCAGGTAGTGGAGGCTAGAGTTAAGTGAAGTTATAAAAAGCAAACAAACAAACAAACAAAAAATCCTTAGAGTCTGCCTCATACAAATCTATACGTAAAGTCAATAGTTACTGTATTATTATTTTCATATGAGTGGTTTCTAATATTTCATGTGTTGTGAAAATGGTGGGAACACATACAAAGAGTGAGGCAAAACCTCGTGATACTGAAGCGGCGATACTGAACCTGCCGTAAGATGGCTTCCTTGTTTGCCAATTCGTTTTCTAGTTTATCATTCATGTCATGAATGGAGGTAGATTCTCTCTGAGCACTGAGGTAACGTTTCTCCAGCGTTGTGATTCTTTCTTCCATGTCTTCCTTCTGAGCCATTGCCTGAAAATAACACTGTAAAAGTCATGTGAACGTCTTTGATTTCATCCCCCATGAGAGCGAAACACAAAAGAAACTGACAGCCTTTCAGAGAGATGGAATTTTCTTACTTAAATGAAATAATAAGATATCAGAACATGGCTTTTGTTCCAGGTAAAGACACATTCTTCAAGGTCATTTTAAAGTTTTCATGTATGCCGGGGCTGGTGGCATACACCTTTAAACCCAGCACTTGGAAGGCAGAGTCAGGTGGATCTCTGAGTTTGAGGCTAACCTGGTCTAACAGGCTAACAAACCAAATAAAAAAGATTCCATGTGTATTTTCTTAGTCTCTTTATCATGTTTTGGTTTGTAATTTTTATAATAGATTAAGCAAGGATTTTGAATGTCTAAGAATAAAAAAAAGTGTATTTTGAAACTTCATACTGTAGAATTAAATGACAGGAAAATTTATTCATTTTAAATAGTAGAAGTACAACTACAAGTAGAGTTGAAAGCCAGGATATTGTAAAATTTGTGACCGTAGTTCCAAAGGTATCTTCAAATAAGACATTGATACCTCCAGAGGGCTGGAGGGACATCTTAGTGATTAAGAACACTTGTTGCTTTTACAGAGGGAGTGGGTTTGGCTCCCAATACCCATGTGGCAGCTAGAAGCCTTCTGTAATTCCACCTCAGGTGAATCTGACACATGTTTCAACCTCTCAACTTATTGCACACACAAAGTACACATACATACACACAGGTAAACCACCTTACATACATATAAAATAAAAATAAAATGTACTTACAAGAATCTACTCAGTATTAGAAGCCACATTTATTATGAAAAGCTACAATCACTAATTAACTAATCCAACATATCTATAAACAATAATCTATAAACATCCATATCTATACCCACACAGAAGTGTAGTCTTCACTCATAAATGAAACTTCTCTTTACAGCAGACACAGAGTTAGCATCTTTGATTGTTTGTGTTCTCACACCTAGACTTTTCCTCCATCACTTCCTAGGGACCCCTGTGTAGGGAATGGGGCAGCCTCAGGTAGACTGGACATTATATATGCAAGTTTGATTTAGAAAATTATTCATTAAGGCTTTCTTCTGAGGTAAATTTATGTTGTTCCTAATTGACAGAGCTGTGCTCCACAACAGAAGCTACTACAAACTAGAACAGGGAGGTAAAGGAAAAAGATGCTTCTTAAGAAATAAAAAATCAATACAATACTTTCATTTTCTGGTTACTGATGACAATTTAAAGGAATATTACAAAACTATTAGAGAGTGTGTAATGACTTAACCATAAATCACAAAAACAGGTAACAGAATGAAAATGAGAATTAGCTAATGGGACCCATAAAAAACAGAAAGCTATACATAATAGAAAATATTACAGGAAACTACCCCTTGGATCAATTGTGAAGAGTAGTCACATAGTAATAATAAGTATAGTCCTGAATGTGATTTTGACAATAATTACATTGGGAAAATAGCAGCAATTAAGGAAGGGGTGTAAGATTAAATCCATACCTAATGCATTAATTAGAAAATCTTATGTTAGCTTTAAATAAAAGAGAAAATGTCCTTTGTATATTTTGGAGATCAGCCCTCTATCAGATGTGGGGTTGGTGAAGATCTTTTCCTACTCTGTAGGCTGATGTTTTGTCTTGTTGACTGTGTCCTTTGCTTTACAGCAGTTTCTCGGGTTCAGGAGGTCCCATTTATTAATTATCAATCTGTGTCTGTGCTACCTGCGTGAGGTAACCCAACCACAGAAAGACAAGCATGATATATACTCATCCATATATGGATATTAAATAACACTGTGCTGGAGAAACCTACAGAAAGAGCTGACCTGATCCAATTAGAGCACAGGTTCCCCAGCTTTACAGTATTGGACCAAAGAAAGCCCTCTGAATGTGGGTGCCAGTTAGGAGACCTGAGCAGTCTATGGGACCTCTAACAGTGGAACCAGTATTTATCCCAATGGCACAAGTGGACTCTGGGAGCCCATTCCCTATGGCAGGATACAATTTCAGCCCAGAAACACGGAGGAGGTCCTAGGCCCTGCTCCACATGATGTGACAGACTTTGATAATCACTCATGGAAGGCCTCAGTATCCTTGGGGACTGGGTGGAGGTGCGTTGGGAGGGTTGGTGGTGGTAGTGGGTATAGGAGGATGGGAGGGAGAGGCAACGAGGAATTGATATGTAACATACGCTTTCTTGTAAATAAAATAAAGTTCTCAAAAACAAAAAAAGAAAATGTCTAAGTGTAAGGGTATAAAGAAAGAATTAGGGGAAAAGGAAAGGGGAAAACGAGAGGAGAGATTACGCGTGTCTGTGTCTCTCCATCTGTGATTATTTTGAAATTATTTGCTGTTGGAAATTTATGTTCATGCAAGAATTAATTAAAAGGCCACGAGGCACACATGCTGCGCTTTGCTTGTTTCTCCACACACAAACCAGGACTCCCTTTGGAGCACCGCTATCATCCTTGGAAAGCTGATAGCCTCACTTATTTTCTTGCTTTGTTGTCTTTACCATGCTGCTGCCCTAAAGCCTATTCTAAATCCTAGTTTGATCATATTCCTTCTTAGCCTGAACTCCTTTGTTTTGTTTCTTTTATCTTCAGGATAAAATAGGAGCAATGAAGCTCTTGCTTTCTTGACCTAATGCATCCCTACTTCTGTATATTGAGGTATATAATGGTCCTTCCAAATGTGTGCCTACTCTGGATCTGTGAAAGAAAGTTAATAAGCAAATACGATGTTATAGCTATAATAAAATTAAGATGAAACAAAGTAGGATTCATGTAGACCATAGATTGAATGGTTGCATCCTCAGAGAGAGAATGGGAAATATAGACACAGAATAGCAGAATGTGAAGTTAGTCTGATGCATAAACAAGAATGCCATGCCCATCAACCATATACCAGAAGCTTGAAGCAGAAATGATTGTATTCTTCTTTACTGCTCTCAGAGAGAACCTGTCCAATTGAGACGTTGATTTCAAACAAAATCCTCAGCAAATGTGAGGAGATGAAATAGATTTGCTATTTGGAAGGAAAGGCTGCCGACTGGGTGAGGAGCCTTGCTAACCGAAGGCAAGCAGAAAATCCCAAGGTGCATGCCTAGAATCTACACAAGGTTAGAAGAAGAGAGCCAAGTTTATAAAGTTGTCCACTGTTCCCCATGTGTGCTGTGCTGTGTGTGTGTGTGTGTGTGTGTGTGTGTGTGTGTGTGTGTGTGTGTGTATGTGTGTGGACACAAATATCATATGATCACACAATATTTGTTTAAATTACAGTCATCACAAACCAATCACTTTGTATCAATTTGCTATGGTAAGAACATGAAACTACCATATCTCTGATTCCATTTTCACCTGGAATAGTCTTTTATTCTTTCTTTACTGTGAGAAGTCTTCCTGTCATTCAGGAGTTAGTAAACGAAAACCTATCCATGTTAATACTAAAATTTAAACACATGAAATTAAAGTAATCCATTAGTTTAGCAAAAATAATTCAGATGATTTTGTAATATGTTGCCAGTATTCCCGTATGTTTTAGAAAGTCCCCCCAGATAATAATCACAGTACTTAGTGGTTAAAATGATGTTGATTCACAAACTTTATTTCTGTTAGTTTGTATTTTTTTTACTCAGTGAGTGTGTAGTTCATGTTAATTTTCACATAGATATCTAGGAATATTTGCCAGTTTCAAAGGATAAAAGAAATCTATGAATCTAACATGTATACAATTTAATAATGGTATCTTCAGAAATAAGAGACAGACATCTTTTTCTGGGAAATGAAACTTGGTATGGTACACCACTCGAGTTAAGAGTTGTCATTTGGTTCACTTTCATTCTATTTTTTGGGGGGTTATTAATAACTATCATATAATTATGAGGAATTAGGTGATATCATAGTTCAGCTACCTTCTGCACTGCCCAGAGTGGAATATGCACTCTTTAATAGCTACTTTGTAATTAGTGATTACAAACCTGTTCTCACTTAGCTGTTCAGGCTTATTGCACACCGTCCATGTAGGAGTCAGTGTATGTAGATTTGGAATGGCATTTTTTTTTGACGTGAGTGATTCATTTTTTAACTGCACGCTGTGTTACCAAAAATAAAACTTGAATTTACAAGTCTTAGAAATAGCTTTTCCTCTGTGTTATTTGGAGAGTATAAAGAAGTGAGCTTTTTTTCCTAGCTCCTAAATGTTGTTATATAAAAAGGGAAATAGCATGAAAATCCAATGATTCCCTAAACCAAAGTTCATATATAACTTGATTTTTATTACATTATATAAATATAGTTCTATAGTAATGTAGTAAGTATATAATTCATGTTTCAACCAATAAAAATGAGAATTTATAGCTTCATGGATTTGATTGTTTGCAAATGTGAGAAGAGTTTACCAATGCCATGTCAGAAAGACAAGTTATCTTCACTCATAAAATATAATAAATATTTCACAGAAAATTTAAGCTCTCTGCATACCTACATAGAGAGTTAAATGTTGTTACTCATGTATGGTTAGTATCGTCTTGATTAAAAAGTAGAGGTCAAAGGCACATTTACAATTATTTTCTGCATAATTGCAATATGTCTAGCTCCATCTGCTTCTAGATCAATATTACTGCAAAGAACAGCTAAAGTGAAATATCAAGATTCTTAATAAAGCAATTACACAAATATGTTCAGAAATCATTGACTGCACATAATTATATAACCCAGTTTAGATTTATTATATTGTCCTCATATACAAAATGAAATGCATTTCAATTTGTAATTAAGTGGTTGGTTTTTCTTCCTTCTTGCCCAAGTTTTTCCTTAATTAATTCACTGAGTGGTTTTTATTTGTGATATATTGATGTGATAATATGTTGCAATTCTGAGAGGGGACAGAGAAGAAATATCTTCCCTTTTAATCATTAAGAAACTCACAAGACATTATTAGACTTTGTGAGAGTGAAATGCAAGGACATATTACTTAGGGGACAGAGTCTGGAGCTGGAGTTTAAGTGACAGAAATTTTACATCATTTTAACTTTTTGGAAAGAATGACAAAATTACTGGTTATGTAAGTGGTAGTTACACTGTGGCTGGAATTTTGTCTGATAGTTGCCATAGAGTAAAATACTATACTATATATGCCAAAACATAACTCCCAACTGAAAGAGAATAACATAATTTATTCTGAAGCCAAATATAAGTGACCATGATATAGGGATACAGATTTAGACTTATCAAAATTCCATGTTAAAATATAACAGTTTGATGTTTTTTTTTTTGATGTAAAACAAAGAGGCAAATCAAAATATTTTTCAAATATGTCATTGGAACAGAGAAAGAGAGTCAGAACACAGTAAGATCATATTAAGTGCTTTATCGAGCCAGAGCCAGGCAGGATGAGTACAGTGGGTGCAGGTTCTTTCTTAGGACTTTTTCAAGAGTGTCACTTCCTACTGTCTTACACTTGGCATTTACACATCCATCTGCTGCCAGGCTCTGAAAATATTTGTTTACAAACTCCCCTCTGAGGCAGATGGTGGGATACCCCCCCTTTTCCACAAGTCTCCACTAAAACGTGGCTACCTGGGGAATTAGGTACCTTAAAAGTATAGTTATATCTTACACAAAAATTACTTACAATAACGGAAGAGCAAACCTATTGAAATAGATTCCTGCTAAAACGATCTCTGGCAACACAGCATTGCTGTTTTATGTCTGACCTGATTTTTTTGTTCACCTTTATCTAAGAACTATTTATAATAAGGAGTTATTTTAAAATGTGTAATGAGGAAGGGTGAGCCAGAGATACCGCAGCCTCTGTGTGAAAGATAAGCAAACATAAAGCATATGAATGCTTTTAAAGTATATGAGAAAGGAAATCTCTGGAATTGCAAGCATGAAGAACTAGAGAACGAGCAAAAGGTAAAGTATTGATATAACAACTTAAAAGGCAGGGGTCATAATATTCTTTAATTTACATTATATATTGTATGATATATTGTATGATAATATTCTTTAATGTATATCATATATTATATGAGTTTGAACTGTAGGAAGCAATGGAGAAGCAAGACTTATTATTCATGAACCTGAGATTATATGAAGTTGTGTCAGTTTCTGAACTTGAGTGAAAATGCCACTGTATTCATCCTTTTCCTTCATAAGTGATGTGTCAATACACATTCTAGCTACACATTTCAGTGAAGGATGGTAAAAACAAAGGTTTTTAGTATTATGTACTCATTAGTTATGTAGGTAGGATAAAAAGAGAAACCAATAGGACTCAATGAAGAACATGTGTGGGAAAATGAGGAATGTGTATTGTGGGATAAAAAAAAAAAACATGAAATGAAATACAAGATAAAGTTTGTACCTGCACAGAGTAAGGTATGGGAACACTAAAAGAAAATCAATCAAGTCCTACTTGCTTAAGACTCCAAATGATCAGAGTAGGCTTGGATAACAGGGGGTCAAGAGAGGGTGTATAATAGTACACATATTTTTCAGGCTACTTACATGGCTTTATTGTTATTACAAGTAGAATATAACGCAATTAAGGAATTGTAAGAAGAAAAGTAATGTGAGCCAATTCACTGGGAGGCATAACAAAATGTCAGACCATTAACTAAAAAAGATAATGATTTATAAAACAAGGGGAAGTTGTGCAAGACTGGGAGACATCAAATATTGGATCTACAGATTATAGGATTTTCCATGCAATCAAATGCAGCATGGGAATGAAGGAAAATTTCATGGGTCCTCTAAGATTTGGACCTAAACAATACTATAGTTTAGGAAGTAAGTTTTATTGGTGGAATCAGAAAGAAGTAAATGTCAAGTTTATACTGCCGAGGCATCTTTTCGAGGCTTAGGTATAACCACTGGGCAAGGGAGAAAGAAGAAAAGGGAGGAAGGCGAGGTAGAGGACAAACCTGGGAGTCTATGGTTGATTTGTGTGTAGCTCATTATCCTTCATTAGCTTAAGCAAAGCAATGATAGCCAACACAGGGGAAGGAAGCTAAGCACTGAACCAGTGGGGATGAGGGGAAGAAGTATCCTGAAGGACATCCGGGACAGTTTGGGATACTGCTATCCCAGAGAAGAACATATGCTCCAAGAATGGAGCTGAGGACATGATCTGGTTCTTCAGAAGGAATGTATCCCTTCATTCCATACCATAATCAATGAGATGCTTTATTACAAATACTCTTAATGGGACAATAGGGACAAATGTAATAACCCAGCATCGGGAAAAGAGAAAACCAAAGTTGGAGACAACAAACAGAGATAGTTATACTAACTTGGTAGCCACATAGAAACATATTTGAAGATACTAAGATATGCCTCACAAGAAAATGTGAAAAGGAAAAACGTCCAAGAGCAAAATTTCCTGAAAAATCAAAGAATTGCATTTTTAAGAGCGAGAAAAAGAAAAGGAAAAATTTACACCTTCTATACTAATAGATAATAAGACATTATGAATAAAATATGTCTGTATCATTTAATAAATCTAATTTACTCCCTTCCTTCCACCATTCCTTCCTTTTTTTGTAGACAAAGCAATGCTAATCCTAGCAAGAAATGAATATAAATAAAAATGAAAGGTTATATTATACATATGCATATTGTATTCATACACAGGCATTCACAGACTCAAATAGACAAGTTAAATGTTTCTGAGCACTCTTATACATCATTATAGAAAACCATGATTCATTTCCACATGCACACTTATTCACATTTAAAACCTTGAAGCCTTGAGATGTCATTAAATCTTCACAAAGACTTTAGCAGAGCAAGACTTGATAGGAAACCTTTCCATTCATATATATTTAAAGGACCAATAAGTAAACTATTTCTGTCTTGTAAACAGGTACATGACTGAAATACCATTTCTAATTATGGTCTTCTAGAGGTAAAGACTACCAGCCACTAAGGAAGTGCATGGAGAGAGATTCTCAGAGTAAGCTGCGGGAAGGCATTCAGAAATCAAAAGCAGAGAATGCTATGAGCCACCTACCTCCCGGATGTCCCTTTGATATTTTGTGTTCATTTCTTCTGTTTTTATGAGGTCCTTTCTTGCTGTCTCTGCCTCCTGCTCGGCTTCTCCCACTCGGGAAGAAAGAGCTGTCAAGCGCTCTTTCATTTGGGCCATTTCATAGTTTTGCTTTTCAAGCAATTCTTGTAGCTCGACTATCTGGCTGGTGTCATCCGTGGAGTCTATGGAGCCATTGGATAGACGCTGCAGGAAGACACAAAAGCAGGGTGCTTAGGACCCTCTGTATCCTTAACCCACATGCACGCGAGGAAAGCGAGCATTATTCACCGTGAGAAACAAGAATTCTGAAACAAGCCTAGTGCTGGAGAAAAACAAACAAACAAACAAAGTTTCTGAGAAAACTGATACTAATATTGAAATTATGTATGTAGGTGCTGGGGTGGTGGCCGAGGAGTTACGACTTTCTCGGCTGCTTCTCTTCCAGGAGACCTGGAAGTGAATGGCTCACAACCCCGTGTAACTTTAGTTTCATCTTGTTCTCTCTTCTGGACTCCATGGGTAAAGTTCAAAAGAATTTGAATAAAAAATACAATACCACACCGTTTAAATACTTATTAAATAATGTGCTATATGTATCTCATATACATGGATCTGTGCTAAATTATACATATAATATAGGTTTCTCATATATACCTATACACTTGCTGGGCAAATGCCTCTGTCACCCTGCTTCAAAACCAATGGTTGGCTTTCATACTCATATGATGTATTTTAAAAATACTTATCTCATTATTTTTCTTTGTATGTGTCAGGAGTCTGTGTGAGAGTTGCATATATAAGCATATGTGTGCAGATAAGACATTATATTTTATTTTTTATTCGAATTCTTTTGAACTTTACAGGCTTTACTTCATTTTATTTTTTAATTAAAATACTTTATACACTTTATTCAAATCATATTCTTTCCCCTCCCCTAATTCCTCCCAGACCCTCCCACCTCCCTACCTAACTTCTGAAAACATGGAACTCTTTTGTGCTATCCAGCTATTCCTATGAGTAGGGCCTGTTCTAGAATGTGGTTAAAATATCCAGTGACATCCCATTGGAGAAAACTGACTTTTCCATTCTCTAGCAGGGGTCAGTTGAAAATAACATCTTATTTACAGGTAGGACTATCTGTTTACTTCCTCTTCTCAGTGCATTGTGCACGTAATGTTCCAGTTTTCCCGAGTCTGTATTTGTCTAAGTCCTGCTGTGTAAGGAACATATGATTCCTTCTGTGTTCTTTTCCACATAGATTCCCCAGCACAGGAAAGGGGGACAGTTGATACAGATATCCCATTTAGGTCTGTGTGCCTTTCTACATATTGTCCACATTTGTGGGTCTCTGTGTTCGTTACCATCTATTATAAGAAGTTGTTTCTCTGATGAGGGCTGGGTGATGTAATGATCTATTCACATAGCAATGTGTTAGTAGAAGTCATTTTATTTATGTATTTCATTAGCAGAATAATTGTAGTATGCTTTTGCTAGAGCCCATGATCTATTTAATTTCAGGGTTTTTGGGCTACGTTATAACTATGGTTCCATCTCATAGAATGGGCATTAAAAATATCAAAAAGTGCCTGGTTATGACCACAAACTTTTTGCCACTATTTAGCCAGTATATCATGTGGGCAGGCCTCTGTTGCTGGTCTCGGGGTTTTTATTCAGGTGATATTGGTGATTGCTTATCTCCTCCTATAGTGTGCAAAGTACATCCCATCAGCATGAATGCAAGTCAGTAGAGGTTGAGCTTCAGCTTTTTTTTTTTTTCTCTTCATGTTCAATGACCTAAGTACATGACGTTCTCAGCAATAAAGCCTTACCACCAGTCTAAGGAGGGTAATAAAAAGCCTTGACAATAGCCTGTGGTGTTTGGACAATCTAGAGGACCATTTTGGTGAACTGTCCAACAAGACATAATCCATTACTGGCACTGTGATGTCTACTTACTGGCTTACAACATCTTTTTTGGGGAATTGTCTTCCTCATCATATGATCTCTTCATTTATACTCCTTTCATATATTTGTATGGTTTAGGTATTTTCTACAGTAGTAGTTTTCCATGTGGCTTTTCAAAGAGCTTTCAGTGTTAGTTGTCCTTCCCATAAACCCTTCAATTACTTATCTCTTCCATCCTGCCTCAAATAGCAAAAGTGATAAATAGGATTCTAAAATAACAGGTTTTTAGGTTACTGACAATTGTACAAATAACATTTACAATTTTGTTAAAGGTGCATAATTTATATGATACTCCTTGTACCTTTGGAAGATATTTTACCCAGCAATGTTGCTTTCAGGATGGCCACCAATTTAAACTTTATATATGCCACAAGGGAGGAAGGTGAAAGAGGTCAAATATTTTGAAACAGTTATTTTCACTCTTTTAAAAGAATAGCAAGTCTATGTTTCAAAAGTATTCTACAAGCCACTATGCAAAATCTTTAAAGAAAGCAGAGAACTTAATAATAAGAATACAAAACAAAAACAGATCAAGGAAACTTGAAAGGACCTAGAAGGACATTTCTCAAGATAAGACCTACACACGACCAGATTTATAAAAATTGTCTTGGCATTAGAAATCACCAGGGGAGGTAAAAATTAATATCACTATGAAATATCATCTCTGGGTTATTCTAATGCCTGTTTTATAAAAGTTAGAGGACATCAAGTATTTGCAAGATTTTACACTATAGGAGTGAATATAAATTATATAAAAGTTATGGAAATTGGTAAGACATCTACAGAAAAAAAAAACTTAAGTAGGACTTCTACATGATCTAGCAAGTTTTCAGTGTATATCAAGTCTCCAAAGGAATGTTTTATATGTCATCTCGACCATGTTATTCAATGTAGTGTTATTCATAATAGTAACCGTAAGGCATCAAAATACCAACTGATCAGATGGGTAAAGAAAGTATGGTACATATGCTAATGAAATTCTATTTTTCCTTTACAAAGAAGAAAATTTCAATTGTCCACACCATGATTGAACTTAGAGAATATTATAAATACAGTGAACCATTTGTTTATAATGAAAAAGTTTGTGTGTATACAGAGTCAAACAAAGCTAACAAGCTAGAACACAGTGATTTTTAACAAAGTCAGGAGAAAAAGGAATGGTTATTAAATGGTTATTGGAAAAAAACGATACATTAATCAGAGTGCAATGTTTCAGTTGGATGGGAGGAACAAGTTATTCATAGTCAATGTGTTATTCATTTCTTTTGTTGTTCATTTCAAAATGACATTTTGTGTATTTGAAAATTTCTAGAGGAGTGGTAATTAGGATAACTGATTAGTAAATTATCATTAAAGAGAATATATTGTTTTTCAATTAATAGTGTAAAAACAATCTTTATTGAAAAATATTTGTCTACCATGTGGGGCCTCAAATTCAGTCACCAATATTGTAAACAATCAGACAATGGTCAGAGAAAAGAAAAGAAAGAAGAGGAAAGGATGAAAAATGGGAACAGTAAAGAGGAAGAAAATAAATGAATGAATAACAAAGAGGTAAGGATGGAGGAAGAAAGAAAAAGGGATGATGTGAGCATGAATGGGAGGGAGAGAGGAAGGGGAAGAAAATAGTGGGAAAAAGAGGGATGGAAAGAAGGAAAGAAATGAAGAAAAGAATGAAGGAAGGAAGGAAGAGAGGCAAAGAGAAGGAAGGAAGGAAAGAAGGATGGATGGAAGGAAGGATAGACGGACGGACAGAAGGAAGGAAGGAAGAGAAGATGAGAAAACTTGTCCCATAGCAGCTTAAAGTGTAGGTAGTACAGAGACTTTGGGGTGATGATATCAAAAGGACAATCTCATCCAAGCAGAATTGGAAGGTATCAGGAAACCAGAACAGTGCAGTCTGATCTGCTTTGATGCTTATCTAGCAGCAGGGATTTGTTCCAACACTGGATTAGGAAACTGTGTTCTCTGTGTGTAAATTTGTTCCCAAGATGCATGGCTAAGTAAGAAAACAGACCCTTGCTAAACCAAATTGCATTCATTCTGATCACTGTTTACATCAGTGGACTCCAGTTCAGGCACATGTTCCAAATTTACTCATCCACATCTGCCTTCCAAATCTGTGTGATCATAGTTTCCTCTGCAACCACCATTTACTTCTAAAAGACAACCTTTAACTAGTGTGACACATACACACCTTAAAGAAAAGAGTGCTCTTTGAAGGTAAAGGTCCATATTTATCACCATTCAAAGATGCTATAATCACAATTTCAAACCCTGCAAAACTATCACATCCACTATACATTTGGCAAGTGGTACGAGCCTTTTCAATCATCCATCTTTCAGTTGCTGTTCAGTGTTCTGTTCTTAGTCAATGTCCAGATATTTGCATAATGTGAGAATTCAGTTACCTTCTTCTAAGAACAATTCAGGGAGAGGTAATCATCTCTCAGCACTCTGCAAGCATCACTGCTGGCATTAGGGCCACAGTCACTGAAGGAGTGCATAGCTAAAAGACTACTGCATCCACTGCAATGCCCTCCCCTTTCCTTTGAGAAAGTTCAGAACCTCTATCATGAGAGTACTGTTCACAAATGTTCAGTACAACAGAAGCTAGTCATCTATAGCATTTTCCTTGTGGACAAATGGAAACATGTACACCTATATTATTGATTTTAAAATGTCTTAAATTACATAAAAACATGAATTGTATGGTTAAAACAAATATTTTACAGCTATATTTCCCACAATGCAAAATAACAAATTACTTGCATCTGCAATGGATCCAAATGACTCTCTCTCTCTCTCTCTCTCTCTCTCTCACACACACACACACACACACACACACACACACACACACAAAACTTTATGTTATAAAAAGGATGGTGAACCTAGAGAAGGACAAAAATGCAGTCCCATTTATATGGAAGCCCACAACAGAAAATTCTAATCAACAGTGTCAGGAAAGCAGTTTGGCTGCTGCCTGTGTCAGGGCAGAGAGACTGAACACACAAGGACACAGATTCACTTTACAGTGTGAAGCAGTTGCTTTCCTTTTGATTCAGGTATGCTATTTACACGGGCAGATCTCCATACACACATACAATTTTATGTATTAACACTGAAAGTTAATAGAGTCATTTCATTTTAATAAACTACAAAATCTCTAAAATAACTCAAAATTATTGCTCTTTTAATAAAAAAAATGTTGCACTTAAAAATCATTGAGTCCTAATGAC